AACACCAACCGGAGCCTGTTTCTGCACTCCAGAGACATCCTGTGGCCGCTGCAGACACTGCAAGGCTGCCCTGCAGCTCGCCTTTCCTTGCAGAGGGCACCACCCGGCCCCCCATCCAACCATCCTGCCAGGTGCCCCAGGCCACCAGCCCCTACCCCTGTTCCTTTGGGCACAGGACAGTTAAAATGAATGCTCCCAAAGTGCCCCCAAAGCTCCTGTCAGGCTGATGTTTTTCCCATCTATGTGGCAACGTGTGAAAGCACTTCATTTTTTTTGGCTGGGCAAGCCGGGGGTGGCGTGTGTGTGAAATAATTCTGTGCTTAGAAAGGCTTCACTGTTTGCAGTCGGTGACAGCCTCACGGTGAGCTCAGGTCTTGGTAAGAGACACCTCCAAGCAAATGGGACTTTACCTCAAGACAGGCAAATAACTGAAAACTGTGCAACTGTACCACCAGTAGCATTTTACTTTCCAGTTCTGCATCCCCATATGTTTTAACAGAATTATTTTTGTGGTGAGATATTTCATGATCTGATTTTATTCACCTAATACATTCAGTGTGATCAGCAACTACAAGGAAACATGAACTGTACGAACATTTTGGTTTTATGCCCTGAATTTTATACGGATATTATGAAACAATAACATAAGGTTATTAACGGGATGAGAACTGCAACATTTCTGTGCCTTGAAATTCAATGCCATTGGTTCCCACAGCAACCATAACCATGGCCGCTCTACGTGAATTTTTACATCCAAATCTCAGAACACAGTTCCAAGTGCTCAGTGCACACAAGCAACAAACAAACAAAAGCACTTTTTTTCCCCCAGCAATAAATACCTTACCTGCTAAGCCACAACTTCTACAAGGTGTTAAAGGCACCTGCAGGTTAAGACAAACTCCCAAAAACTGTCCATTAATGCCCTGAATGCAGCTTCTGTGCACAGATACTCACAGGATTCACAGTGCTGGTACTGACACAGCTTCTGTTGGCAGTTATTGCTGGAATGAGAGCTCACTGTTTGTAACGAAGGTTAAAACCTTCTCAGAAGGCTCAAAAAGACCAGTGGAGGGTTTTTCCAATTTGCTTCAAATACTACACTGTTCCAACTTCAGAAGCACTAGGTGAAGAGACTGCTTCTCCGTGGTTTTATCCAGCCCCTTCGCTTGGAGGCAGTACCCAGGTACATCATGAAGAGAACCAGGAACACGAAAACCATAGTGATCTAAGTAAGCTTAAAGGCTAGCTTTTTTTCTGCTCTTTGGTTTGTCAGAAAAAAAGAGCACACACACAGAGAACAACTGCTGTCTGTCTTTTGTTTCTTGGGAGTTCTCTAAGCATTCACTGCTGCTGTCATGCAGGACACTGATGGGTCTTTGGTATGAAGTGTAACTTAAAAATATGTCTTATCAATTGCACTAGGCTGAGCTTTTATACAAAGCTTATGCTCCTTCCTTCTCTGAAGCAATGGAGTAACTGTCAATGGTGAAATCAGTGACACAATTTTCACAACTCCATCAGAATGTCAGATCAAGGGTCTAATTGGCAGCACCAGTGATTTGTAATAGCGTGAGCCTATCTTTACAGGAAAGCTCCAGGGCTTTTCTGTGAAAACTTACAGAAATGAGGTTGCATTGACAGCTGAAAAGATATGGGTAACTGAAAATCTACAACTTTAAAATTAAACATTAATCTATAGTGGGATCAGCTTTCCAAAACCGTATTTAGTATTTCCTAAGCATTTGCAATGTGAATTAGAAAACAAAAATTTTACATTAGTAAGCGCCCCTCCAAGAGCAGAAATACCATCTATTACTGAGATTCTCTAAATATTTAACTTCTCTTACTAAGAAAATACATGGTCTTGCACAACTGATCATAGACTGCACAGCAAGAAACACCCAACCATCCCTCTCCTTGCCACAGAGAACGACGTCGGGTCGCAGGCAGCCCCTGCCCACACCCAGCGAGGTCCCCGAGCCTGTCAGGACCTGAAACCAGCACGACCAAGAGGGTTTTAACTCACAGCAACCTCGTCCATCCTGCTGCTCCAGGCCAGGGCTTAACAGAGAAAATGGTTCTCTGGGTTGGCTGCCGTCCTAATTAAACTGCAATCTACAAAACAAGGTATGACATAGCAGCTGTGGGAAAGACTGATTAAAAGTCTCTGCACATTATCCCAATAGGCCCATGTATATGTGAGCTTTTAACCAAATGGGAGCAATCTGTATTTAAATTCCAGATCTGCTACAATCTTTCCACATGACTAGCAGGACTCCTGAACCTCTGACTGACTTCTTTAATACAACCATGTGGATATTAATTTCAGATTTTTTTTTTAAATAATCCAATCTGCCTTGACAAAAAATGCTGCAATTAAAATGTTTTGGAGTACAGTATCTCACTATATTTAATCTTGAAATTTCACTGTAATACAAGAGAAAAAAGGTGAACCTTGCCCAAACCTGCACTAAAAGTCTTGGAACTCACAAAGACTGGATTAGATGCTGTAGCTTGAATACAAGTAGCAGGTAAACACAGACCAGCAGGACTAGCTGTTCCTCTAACCCACCCCTCTGCTATCCTCAATGCAGTCGAGGATCTTAGACCTTGTAAATTCAAACAGACTGAAGTGTTTTGGAAAGCTTAAGTACAGGGAAGGCTTGCACGAGAAGTTTATATGAATTTGTTTGTCCCTGCTCAGTGTTCAGATTTCTAAAAAAATGTACATATCTTTAAACACTTTTATTTAAAGCAGTCAACACCCCCTGCAATCCAAACTCTTACGACATGATTCTCTGCCAGACCCAGCAACCAAAAACCATTTTCAGAGGTGGATGACATGAGTTTTAGCACTGCAAACCTTTAGTGATGAGCCCATTACACAAACAGCCCCCAACTCACCATTCTGACCACACATTCCAGGACATCAGTCACGTCAGTACATAAAACCTCTTCTCGGGTGCTGGACATGCATCTCAAAATGCCTCGGCCTCTTGCTACCTCCTCACCGCACACTGATCTCTGATTATTTTTAAACTTGCCTCTTAAGGAAAGAAAAAACAGCTGTAGTTCTGCAGAGTCATATCAGCAGCAGCGCTGATAAACCTGCAAGGATCCCCAAGGAGTATGAACAAGAACACAGCCTGTGCTCAGAAGAAGAGTTCGTCTTTGGTTTGGAGATCTGAAGGAAGCAGCTCTCCTCTCCAGGCAACTCCTAGAGGCTTGAACAGCAAGCGTACAATACACTACAGAAACCAGGGTATATTCTGCCAGTTGGGTAATTTTACAAGGCATTTGGGAAGGAAGCTGTTAAAAATCTGTTTCTGATTGCCATAAATTATTTTTTTAATACCTCAAATACAGATTTACTCTGAAAGAACCTTTTGAGAACACTCTAAGAAAAATACTTAAGTACAAACTTTAAATATCCAAAGTATGATACCGGTGCACTTTTTAGAAACAGTTACATACTTAACAGGTGAAGTAGGAAGAGAGTATTTCAGAAAACATTTAATATGAAACCTTCTGGAATTTTCATCGAATACAGATTTACATCATTTATCAGAACACTTTTTCAGTTCAGACAACAAAGTGCACTGCTAGGTGAAAAAAATACACTTGGAGTGCTTAAAATGTAGGAAGTGAAAGGATAGGTGACCGTTCACCTGAGAAAGTACAATGACTGCCCTGAAATGTCTTATTGCTATTACAAAACGGAGTTTTGATGGAAAAAAAAAAAACCACCACACTGAGCAGCACAGGCAGAGAGCACGGAAAGCCAAGTGAACTCCGGTAGCACCTGGAGTTCTCAAGCCATGGCATGATACAGAATATACAGAGAATAAAATGCAAATTCAGGAATATTTACTACATTTAACAACTATGATTACCCTTTAAACTAGCATAATCAATATCAATGGTTATGGGGAAAGAGAGGGAAACTCTGCTGCCTTCACAGGCTACAAGATCACAAGAACTAACTTGCAAAATATTAAGGATTTTGCATTTTCACCTTGGGTCAAATCTGAACTGTGTACTAGGAGTAACTATTAGCTTACTGCAAATTTAAAATGCAAATTTCGGCTCCAGTTTAAAGCACATGTTAAGTACATGCTTAAGTGCTTCACTGAAATATAACCATAAAACATTAATACAAAAAGTCACGTAGTAGATAATACAGGATATTATCTACAGAAGTCCTTGACGATATAAACCAAGTATTGGTAGGAAACAACGCATTAGGAAATCTCTTCACTCTAGTTTGCAAAACCAAACGTGACTGACCACAGTGACGGTTAAAAAGCAGGGCCCATCCCAGCGTAGCTTCATGCCCTACAGAAAGCTAGTTGGCCATTAGAGTTCATCAAGGGCGGATTTCCACCCTGCATGTTAAAAGAGCGACAGTGGACTCCCTCGGCAGCAGCAGCTGGAGACACGACTGGCACTGAGCCACCACGAGCAACACAACCGGAGCGATGCTGAAAGAGCTGCAAGGAAAAGGTTTAACTGCTAGCGCCTATGGCTGTAGTTTAAGCAAGCTGGATGTTTTGACAGAGGAGATCAGTTGCCAACTGGATTCCCAGTTTCGATACAGTGCGCGCCCAGAACGCAAAGGATGGCACCGCCAAACACGCAGCAACACCTCAGAACGGCCCCAACCCGCCTCGAAATATGGTCGTTACTGGAGTCCTTTTGTGCTTTGTGTCGGTCCGACCTAGTCTAACCGGAGAACTTGGTCTGAAGGAAAAAGTCACTAGTCAGCATTTAGCATGTCCTTTTAGACTGCCTCATTCTGTAGAGGAATGGTGGAACAACAGAAAAGTGTTCTGAGCTGCAATGAATACTCGTAAGCCAAAAGGACAAAGTACAATTTGAGTAGTTTAGTATAAGCAGAAGAATGAAGGCGTTTACCCAAATTTTAATGCACAAATCAACCACATTTCTAAAATTTGATTCAGACTTTAAATAATAAATAGGTGGGCAAAATATAATGCAAGACTCAGTAGAAGTGAATTTTTAATAATCTCATGAGATCTACTTAGAAAACAGGACTAATAATGTTCACAACCGTAAATCCAAATCCTTCACACACTTTTTTTTTTTTTTTTTCTTCCTTAACATAGCAGTGAACTGTAAATCTGCATTTACTGGTTACTGCTTCAGTTATTTTAAATGCTAACTCAAGTTTTTCCTCCTTGGCCATTTCAATTTTTAGCACCAAAATTAGCCCCAAAAGAGGTACTGGTACAGCTCCATGTTGTAAATGAATTGTTTACATATAATACTTTATATATTATACACACATACTGTACATTCACACGTCCACACAAACAGGAGGCATATTTAAATGAATATATTCTGTGTTTCAATTTGTTGTCAAAGACTTAGAAGCAATGGAAATAAAGCAGAAGGGGTAATATTTTACATAGTAGGCAACTTTAATGCTGTAGTGCACTTATAAAAAAGTCCAACTCTCCCTCCCAGCTCAGCAGCTTTTTTTTTTTTAATATCACTATTCAGAAGGATGCAGAAGTTATTGCCTAAATGTTATTCTATACATTTCCATCGGAATTCTCAAAAACACTTGAAATTGCTAACTAATTTACAACTTAACTATTTTTCTTGTTACAGCTTTAACTCATTGGCAATTTTGGAAGCAATGTTTTTAAAAGCTATGGATGTTCCCGATATCCGCTTAAAGCGAACTCCATTCAGGGACAGTCTTGGCAGTTTACACACCTCCATCTCCCACTGGACAAGGTTTTCCGCATGCCCATCTCCATGGACACAGAAAAGCAAAAAACGCTCTCTTTGTTCATAGTCACAATTATTGGCATCCAGGACCTTTCGTATTTCCCTCATCATGTCATTGGGATCCATGGAGCTGGTGGTTTTCATGCTCCAGGTAAAACGCAGCGACCGAGGCTTCGCTTCCTTGTTCTCGTCCTTCTGATCCACAGCTACGTTGCGACTGAAAGACAGGAGTTTGTTAGTCAGCAGGGCCAGCGACCTTCTCCACATTTCATGTTAGTGAAGCAAACTAACACTCAACGCACAACTACCGGTATTAGAGCAGCATCTAGAGGCTCCGGCCGCGAGCGAGGCGCCGCTTTCCTAGCTGCCGTACAAACACACAGTCAAGGTGAAGCACTAGCTGGTCTGGCTGAAACAAAGGTATGGTACGACAGGCGACACAGCTGGAAGTCACTGGAGTCGGGCGCCTGAGGGAAATGACCTTGCGGAGGTAGACCTACAGGCATTACCTACAACCCAATTTTAAGGCAGGTTCTGCTCAAACTCCTAACTCCCAGGCCACGTGGAGAGCTGGAAACACAGCTCGGTGCTAGAAGTTTCTGGAACATTCAAAGAGCGGCGACTTGTGATTAAAGGGGGCTCGGCCCAGATCGTGGGGGTGCCAGTCCATGGGAGGTGCCTGCTCTGATACAAGTGGGATGAGCCCGTGCTGAAAGGTCCTGGGGGTTCCTCTGCTCCTCCTCCTGTGCAGCAGGTTGGAGAGCACACCCTGGGAGGGCCCATGGAGTCCCGCCGGAGGCAGCTGCAGGCAGGAGGAAGGGCAGCAGGACAGGGGGACCCTGCCAGGGGTCTCCCAGGGCAGGCACATGCCACCTAGTTCGGTTTCAGTCCAGCCTTCCCGCACTGCTAAGTGTTTGAAATGCTCACCAGAGACCCACCACACGCTACTTGGGGTCACCTTCAACAGGGAGGAAATACTCTGTCTCTGAGTTGGTCAGCAATTTGCTTAACACCGATGACTGATAGAGGTGACGTGATGAAATCTTTTGGTGCTACAAGTTAAGCAGGCTAAGTGCCTTGGAGGCTGAAATGCAGTTTCAAGTCACTTATTGGACACACCTCTTCAATGTTGTTAGTCAAGATGGAGAACAACAGTGTTACCGTTACAGTTTTAAGAGATAAAGTATTTTATCTCTGGTATTTATATGAAAATACTCGAGCTACATTTCCAAGGTTTGTGACTTCCTCCCCCTTCCCCCCAGTAAAAAAATCACAAACTTTTCCTTTGGTAAGTATAAATAAAGTTATGCGGGACAAAGAAAAAGAAACGTTCCAGAAATTTCTAGTTTGCAAAGATTTTTCTGCTTCAATTAAAATCCGTGGCCATACAGAGAAAAAAAAAGGAACTACATTTGGACCCCCAGGGAAAAAATATGACAGATTTGCTTTACGGATATTTGCACACTGTCAGTTGCCTCTTCAAATTTCCTTGTCCTCAGAACAGACTTAAATATATTGACTGCCTTGCTTAATTTTTTTTCTGAAAATATCTAACCTAACTGATCCTAAACCACAGGTTAGGTCTCATGTGGAGCTTCAAAGTTCACTTTACAATATGAAGTCAAGCTGCTCTTTAAAATAGTTGGCAATGAATTTCTAGTTATAAAATGCTTTTCTACCACCATTAAGCAGAGAATTATAAGAGTTAAATAAAAAGTGAGTGATAGTAAGGTCAAAACTAAATAAAAAATATTTCTCAAAGATAACCTGTTTCATCATTTTACCTTCTATTAGAGAGACTTCCAGTAACCGCAAGAGTCATAGGATTACACTGTCAAATCCAGCCACGTGATTTGCCAGATGTTATAAAATTGAGCAAGCAAATTGAAGAGCACTTTGTTTTAACTTCAAGGCTTTAATTTAACAAGGCTGTTACAGGGCAGGGGGAACACCAACTTTTATTCAATGCTCATTTTATTTTTAAAAGCTTTTTCTCCTGGACAATAGTTGGCAGAACCAGCACAAGTTTGATAATTTTTGGTATTTTTCGATATGCAGATTTTAGAAGAAGAGTGTAACGTGAAAAATATTGTTTAACTATCTATGATTTTGGAGACGAGAAATATCACCCACACGTTTGCAGCCTCACTAGAGGCCACTTACCTACACATCTACAAGACAAGAGCAAATTATAATAACTAAAAAGCAAAAAAAAAACCCAAACCAAAACAAAACCAAAAAAAAAAAAGAAACCACACAAGGGAAAAGGCAACAAAAAACATGATAGTTTAGAACCAAGTCAGTCAGTGCTTGAACAGCTGTTTTGCAGACAGAAATGCTTCCTTGTTTAGTTTCAAAGCCTTACACAAAACAAAAGCTGCTGCCTGAAGCCACTATGCCACATAGTCAAGGGGAGAAGGGTTCAAACTCACCTAAGTAACATTTTAAACAAAAATTTTACCCTCACCTTGAGCCCTCAAATCTCCCGTTCCTCTCATATTCAGTCGGGAGCCTCAATGAAAAGAACGCAGAAGCAAAAGGAAGTGGGAAAGAGAAGACAAATCTTACACTACAATATACAACATCTGAGTAGCTGCTAAAAGATACTGCAATCATATTAAAAGTGCGTTGCTAAAATATAAAGTAACAAAGATGTAAAGAACTTCATAGGTTAGACCAAATTCAGAATATAATATATTGTCAAACCAAATGAAAGTCTATAAGCTACAGTTTTTATAAAGACCGTAACTAATTTTTACAATGTATGTTTATATATACTAATATATTGTAGAAGTCACTGAATATAGTCGAACTTCTAAAAGCAGAAATGTGAAACTAAGAAGTTACAAGGCACACTGAAGTTATTTTATTATTTAGTATGTACCTCCTAAGAGAGAAATAATTCTCAGTTATTTTTAGGCTGATGATATTTAAAAGTTTTATCTGGGAATGCAATATATATTTGATATTTGAAAAAAAAAAAATCCCTATTTACAGACAAGTCTGGTCACATTGTGTGTTTGCGTGCACATCAGATCTGAGATATTAGGTGTTTAAACACCACCAAATACCTTCATGCAAAAGAACATGACTCATATACGTCATAACAAACGTTTAGAGGCAAATCCAAGATTTCTCAAGCTGTGGCAACTCCATCCCACTAATTTCCACACTGACGCATCTTCCCTATCTGGGAAGATAGGCTATTTTTCAAAAGCCCAGTATCAAGCAGAATTAAGGAGGAAATCATCTTCCTTCACATTCCCCTTTCTGCAGTACCATGGTCTGACATCTCGGCGTTAATCCTGCTTGCAGGAAAGCTGCCTTTGTAAGGCTCTTCTCAAGACTACTCTAAGCTAGTACATAGCTTCAGTGAATAATGTAAACTATCAGAGCAGTTTGGCTGACAGGTGTCTAGGGATAGGAGTGCAAGACAGGGAGCTTATTTGTTGATGAACAGTGGTATTAATATCAGGGTGTATGGGGGGTTACAAGGCTTAATTTTCTCCTTTCCTTTGTTTTGAGGGTTGCGGAGAGGGAATGGGCTCCTAAGCTGACCCTGCGCAGCCCTGCTGGGAGGGAAGTGCAGCTGTGGCAGCTCCTCGTTCACGATTCACACTGCTATTGCAATAGAAACTCAGTTAAGAAAGTGGTAAGTCACTCAGCTACAGCTGCTTGTCACAACAGTGTCCGATGGGAACCCTGCGCGCTGGGGAGGACATGGTTGCACCAGATGACATGGTGCAACAGGTTCTCTGCCAGGAAACTTTTGCCACTGACTAATGAAGAGCAAAAAGAGTAAGGAAGGTCAGAGGAAAACAACTGACAAGTCCTCAACAAATTCTAGCGCTTCCAAGTGGGTTTTTAATGGTAGTTATTTTCACAAGATCTCATACTCCTTACCTATGGTGGATAGATTTTAAGGTCTGGAAATACAGTCCATGAACTCATTCTTTATAAGAGCCCTGTAGGACTGAGAAGGGCATAGGAAGTACATCACGTGCACCAACCAAACAAATCCACACCTTTCAGGTGATCCGGGAAAGGCTCATTTTACCAGGCAAGGCAAGCAACAAGTTTGAAGACACTGTTCAACTGAAAAATTAAGACTACTTCAACTTCAAAGAGCCTACTGTGCTCCTATGAAGTGGAAGACAACAGCTCTGTTAAGAGCTACAAGCATTTATGGGTTTTTTTGGTTTGTTTTTTCTTGTGTGTGTGTTTGGTTTGTTTGTTGTTGTTTTTTTTTCGAAACTTGCCAAAGGATGTAGAAAATAGGAGCATAACCAATCTCCCTAACAATGGAGTCTTACTGTTGCTGGAATCGGTCCAGAAAAGTCTTGGAGGAAAATTTCCTAATGACGTACCTAGACCTCATTTAAGTTGAAAGTAAGTCCAAGTGCTCAGTTTTTAAACCGCTGTACTCCAAATCTAAGAAAGGTCACTATTTACAGAATACCTGTCGCTTGGAAATAATAAAAAGCCTCTCAGAAAATCCTTACTTCGTTCAGGTTTTCCATGCAGCAGTGTTCCGTTCATTTCGCACGAGGAACTGCACTCAGTGACATGCACCCTCAAAAATGAGCCACCATGACAAGCTCTGGAGAGCTGTGCCGGCCTCTCTAGATGCTCCTTCCTTCATGAAGGGCACAATTATGGTCCAGTTCCACAGCCCAGCGCTGGTGCTTTGGGAACACTCACTCCCTGTGCTGCCAGTATTGTTTCGGTGGGTCTGCAAGTCAGATGCAGCCCTGAGGCCTCCTCACTGCCAGTACAATCTCTGCTTTGGCGGGAACCGCTAATTACTAGTTCATGCTCAGAGTTTTCTGCTTTTGCTTGTATTTTCACACGGACCTTGGTCTTGAGAATGGAAAAAATATATAGGAAAGTTAATGTTCTCATTTGTCATGCAATGCCTACACATCATCTCCTTTATGGTTTGTGAAAGGCTTACAAAAATACGAATGCTTCCATCCATCTGTCCTGAGTTACGCTGTGTGTTTTCTGTTCTTTACATCTTTGTACACTCTGTGTTAAAAACCCAAATAAACACAAAGAAAACTGTCTGAAAAGATGCAGGAAATCAGCAAAAGGTGCAAGACGCTAAAATAAGGTCAATATATGAAAACATAGGAAAGATGCTGCAATAAAATCCAGAACACAGAAGGTGATTTTTGCTGTCAGAAAAAAAAAAAGTTAGGGATTTCCACAGTATGCGAATTGGCAAGGAAAGTGCATAGTACAAGAGATATATATATATATTTTATATCTCTGTATATCGAGTACAGTATCAAAACTCAGTAGTTTAAAAAGGTGTGACCATTCATCTACTTTCGTTCACCTCCTCAGAATTACCTTGCAGTACTATCTGCACACGCGATTGCATTACAGGAGTTCTTTCAGCATCAAAGACAGTGAGCTTAGGACAGATTCATCGCATATAAAGCGGAATTGCCAAAACCACCAACATATTCAATTTAATTTTGCCCCTACATACACATCAGGTAAGGAGGGACACCATGCATACTTAAACCAGAATTTAAAAGGCACAGTCTGCTCCTGTGTAGGTGGTGTAAGACTCTGCAAATCTCTTATTCAAAAGACATTCATGGAAGCTGTAGAAGCTATTTCCACAATAGGCTAAGATTCCTGGCCTCAAGTCAAAGGAAAATTTTTAAAAATTATTTTAAAATTACCTTTTCTAAGTTTCAAATTTCAACAGTTACCTTATTTAAAACACTCCTCATATTAGCATTGCCCATCTTTCTTCAGATCAGTAGTGCAGCAAACTTATCTGCAGTCAGTTGGTGGATCACAATCCTTTGTTTTAAAAGCAATCTTAACTAGAGAGAGATAAAAGCTCCCTCTTATGCACCTCATGATGCACGATGGGTTAAAACTACTGCCACTGCTCAGTTTCATCTGTATGCTGTGTTGGATGGTTTCTTTCCTTAACTAAGAGTTGGTGCCTGTTGCTTTTCTCAAGTCAGCTGTGACAATGCGAGCCAAGCCAACCAACATCAGTTCTAAACACAGTCATGTTTGGAGGAGCTCTGATTGTTATTACTGTGGCATGGAATTTACTCATTTAGTCGGGCAGGGTACCTTTACACTCAGAGCGTACACAATACATCCAAATTTAGTCAGCAATTTACATCTCCGGTCTCCCTAATCTAAGTATTTCCTTAAAATGGTCTGACCAACTTCGCATTAGTCACACGCACAGCCCTGCATTTTGCAAGTCAAAACAGATGTCTAGTTTTTGGCCTCGTCTCCCTAGTTTTGATCAGTAGCTGGAAATTGCAAGTACCACCCTTTAAGAAGCACGAAAGCATGATACAGCTAAACAAACTATTACAAAATTCTACGGGAAAACTTACCTGCTGATCAAAACTATACAACCAACTTCCATGAGTCATATTGGATTAACAAGGGATACAGCAGCTTGATTCATTCCCAAATTGTAAAAGGAAATGCAATCTTTCGGGCTTTAAACGTGATTCAGACTTTTGAGTTTTCCTTTTTCTTAATAAATTTGCATAGATGTTCTGCTTTTTTGTTTATAACTCAAGTGCTCTATCTGCACTTCCGCTGCAGTTCTTCTCAGCAAATTTTGAAATAAATACACGACCACTGCACCTTCAATAAATCTCCCATACAAAACTTAGACTCACAACCACGTGCGGTTTGCTTTCTGTCGTATCAACTGCAGACAACACCTCAAACTGATTTTCTTAATAAAACATCACAGAACAAAAAGATAGAGAACGTAAATTTAGCATCACTTACCTTTATTTGCTTGCACCCTTATGTTTTGTTTATACTTTCATCATTGTTACCAAACACCTCATTCTTCAAACATAAGCATGCTAAGTGTATTAGTACAGAGAACAGAATTACTTTGGTACTACCAACTCTATCAAAGAAAGAAGAATTCACAAGGCATGCTTAGCATCTTGTTATTCAGGTGCCACAGATTCTTAAGTATCATCGTGAGTTAATGGATTTATTCTACGTTTTCCTCTCAAGAAAGAAAGTATTTAGTTCTCAGCATTTAGTTTTCAGAAAACCAAGGCTAGAAAGCCAAATCTGTTGTTAATTGCAGGAGCCACTTTTTTTTAAATATAAATAAATCCTACCTTTTGATAAACCTGAATGACATGTTTCTAAAAGAAATTAAGCCAAAATAATAATTAACAAGAAGTTTTGTACAAAATAAATTGAAAAAAGCCATTTAGAGTGAAACATGCAAAAAGGTCTCATTTAAAATGCACAATGAAAGTACACTTCAATACATTCTGAGATTAGGCAGATGATGTAGGATCTGAAGAGTCAAACTCTTAGCATTGCTACTTCCAAACTTATGATTTCTGGGAAATATGCCACCAGTGGGTACTAAAAATTAAAATACATACTGGTGTCAAAACGCTTTATAACTCATAATCTGCATAAAAATATGTCTGGATTTTCTTCATGTGTTTCAAATAGAAAGCAAAAATCAGTAACTCTCCTATAATTAGATCCTGACTATCTTCAGAGTTAGGTTTCTTCCTTCCTTTCTAGCTTTAGTCAGCCACACTGCGCCAAAAAGTACCTTAAATATTTAGTTTATTTAGTGGCAGAAGCTGTAACAATTGCCTGCACCAGAACATAAGCAATTCATAATCAAAAGGATTCTGATTCCACGTAGAGAATGCTACAATAAATGGCAAGGTTTTAAGGTTTTTTTAAATTTATTCAAAGAGAAGAAACACAACCATGTCCTTTGATAGCACTATCCACCTCCTTAATATTTTTACAGCACCTACTGTAACAGAGTCCCAACTGTAAGAAGTTCTCCAAGCACAAACTTCACCATCTGTAACAGTGCTATTGTGTTACAACTGCATGATATTTAATCAAGCCCAGATGGAATTCAAACCATTGTCAAAAGTAGCAGGGAAAAACTTCCAAGAAAACCACACTGCACTGCGAAAGCTGAAACTTGGAGGTAATGATAGAAGTTTGAATGCTGCCTAAACAACTGGGTGAAAAGCTTGCATGTTCACAGTTTGAGCATCCTCATTTGGACTGTCAGATGGAAAATTAAGTAAGGATATTACAAACAAAAGTACAGAAAGAAAGATGTGCCAAAAGGATGTCTCTGATTAAGACTCCACTTGACAAAATGCAGATGACTTTTTTTTTTTAAGATCAAATTAATTTTTTATCTCTCAACAGAAAAAGAAAAAAAATCATATAGCACGGTATTTCCCAGGGAAGTGTTAGCTGGCAGAGAGCTGAGCAGGCTAAAACATTTATCAAAGGCTAGGTCATCACATTTTTGTTTTTCATCAAAACAATTTCCACATTTTTCAAGAAATTCACTCTCTAAATTGAAATCAGCCAGTTGGGAAAAACTGGAGATTGGCTTAGCATTATCCTGTAGGAATGGGAGACTATGAAAAGGATGCTGAGTGGGAGTCACAAAGCAGACAGGAAGGAAGTGGCTTGGATCTGATGCGATATAACCTAACACAAAAACGAGCAGGAAAAGATCAGAATGATATATTCCAAAAAAATTCACATGATGAGGAAGGTCCAAAAGCACAGAGATCATCTTAAGGCAAAGATAAACAAGCCCTCACTTCTGCAAACACAAGTTGCGGATATCAGAGTGGTCTGAAGTATGCGGTATGTGAACCGACAGGTTTTATTAAACACAGAAGGTTTCAATTTTAGAGTTTGCAGGAACTTATTAAAATCATACATGGATCTGAAACTAGAATTCCAATTAGGATAAAACTTGTTTGTGCAGGATCAACACCTGCTAAAGCAAGGCTTTGGCGAGCCCAACACACTTCCCAACACACTTTCACACCAAAACCTGTACATGAACTAAAGGTCAAAACAGGAGTAAGTTTTATGAGGTTTGACCAGACTCCTGCCTAGACTGAAAGCACAGTGCTGCCATTATTTTAAGATGACCTATGCTAGCCCTACTGCCAGAAGAACCTTTCATCTCCTGCCTCTACCCATTTGTGGTATTCCTATTGCCTCTATTCTTGCAAGAATACTCTGAAAACACTGATATCCTAAGTGATCAGGAAACACAATCTAAGCTTCTGCCACTACATTAAATATCACGACTGGGATCTGTCTACTGACAGACCACGCAGTCACAGTGAGCAGCTTTTGAATGCAGCTGCAATGTTTTTTGTCTCACTTTTTATCCTGTTTGAGTCAACTGCTAAAGACAAATGGCTTCTGTAACCAAAAAGAGCTACGAAAAAATCATAAGCCAGTGCATTTTAAGTTGCGGAAATTGTTAAGCTATTAATCAGAGAATGTGGACAAAACTGCCTGAGCAATAAACTACTAGAAATTTCTACTACCCAATAAATGTTGCATTATCGTTTTCAGAGACTTACCTTCTGGTTAGTTTTGAAGTTAGTTTACTAAATAGATTAGTGGAACCCCTGGTTCGAGTCTGTGAGAGCGGCGTTGCTTCATGGGACAGGCTGGGGGAGGCTGGCGGCCCGTTGTAGGTGGCGGTACGTCGCTCCCGGAGCTGGCCGTGGAACGTGCTCCGACTAGCCGTTCCTCTGGGGAAACGAATACGATCAGGTGTGGTTGCGCTGCTAATGCTGTGAGTTGAAGCAACAGGAGTTCTTTGATCGGGAATAGTGCTAGAGCAAAAACAAACAAACAAACAAAAATGCTAAAACTTCTTTACAGCAGCACTAGGGTTCTGTAGGAAACACAGAACACTACATTCTACAGTAAAGCAAAAGCAGACACTTTTGTATAGGCCAGGGTTGGAAATATCGACATTATTACAGCACTGTATGGAATCAAAACTCGTAAGAAGTTAGGATTAAAAGGCTGCCGAAACAGAAACCTACATAGGCAGAAAAATGCAACAGAAGTATTCCAGAAAAGACCAGATCAACTAAGCGTACAATGTTTCACTGAGAAGACTGATAAAAGAATGGATGAGTAAAGTTTCCTCCCAGGAAAGAGAAGCAACAGGTAACTTTGGTGTCTCTCCCCCCATATTCTATATATACATCTTTGGAAGTCTTGCTAATTTGAAAGTATCCTACACAAAATTCTCTACAAGCGAACCGCTCCAAGTAGCGAAGTCCTTCAGGATACACAGTTTAAAGTCTCCCACAAGCTTTGACAATAGGGAATGTCCAATACTCCTAACACTAGTGAAAAATTAAGGTTCATTATTGCAGGATTATGTCACAGACAGCCTGACACACCACAAGACAAATGTAAACAAGACTAAAATAAAATGAGGAAACACACATCTTGTGGGCAATATATAACTAGAACAATCTAGGACTAAAATTCCACAGCACAAAGTTAAGAAGCAGTGGGTATAAGTTAGTTTCACAATGATTTCAGGTTCTTACATAGGCCTGAAGTTATCTGCGCCATTGTCTATTGGAGGCAACATCATCTTCGTGTGCACAGAGGCTGACATGGACATCGACTTCTGATGTCGCAGCCGAACACTGGAGAAGGATGTAGTACAAACTGAAGCAGGGCTAGCTGCGTAAGCGAACATTTCTGTCAGGCTGTGAGGGGGTTTGGGTTCAGGCAGAGGCAGAAAGAAGAGCATGATGGACCAACAAACTACTGCATAGGAAAAAAAAAAAAGCAAACTTTTCCTTCTATTAACTGATTTATCAAAGAACAAGAAGTCTAATAGCCGTCTTCTACGTAACCAGCAGTAACTACCCTACACTCCCCTTAAAAAGCATCCTCACTATAGCACTTGACATCTGTGAAGCGATTATGCTCTTACCATTAGTGTTAGTTTGCAGTGATACCCTCCTTGATGTATAGAACCTGAGTAACTCGGTGTTCTGTGCCAAAATACTAGTCTAAAGCATGGATATAACTTGTATTGGTCTTAACATTAAAAAAATCTTTAAAAACCCCACAAACTGCACTTTCCAGAAGACTGATGACAGCCCCATTAGTTCAGTGCAATACTTTTTTTTCAGAATGTATCTGTTAAAGAAATCAGTGTAAGTTGGGCAAGCTGTCAAATCTCGATCTATATCTGATAACTGAGACACTTCACAGGCACAATCGAAAACAATATCATGATCTTTAACAAGCCCAGAGAGGCCCAAACAAAAATGCTACTATTAAGCAACCTGTACACGTAGGAGGCAATGAACAACGCTTGGTGTTCTCTGAAGAAAGAGGTAGGACTGTTGCAGAGCATCTCATATTGCTTGGCGACAAACCTTAAATTCTTCAAATTACGATTCAGGCTGTCTTAGCAGAACGGCCAGTAAGCTGCCAGCTGTACAACACGACAAAATAGGTGCATGAAACCTTTTTCCTTTCTTGGGGCCAAAATACTCTTTACAGTCGTCACTTTATCTAGTAATGATAAAGACCAGAGAAAACTGAAGGGCCACAAAGTGTACTGGGCCTTTCAGGCTACAACATCATATGTCGTCCACCTTAAGTTTGCTTTAAAAGTAAAGCACCTGTCATTCAGAAATACTGTTCAGAAGTCAGTAACTGTCAGTGACAGTTTCACGACACTGCATGTTCACTTCTAAAGTACTTCATAGTTACACAGACTGAAATTCCAGTCCTGTTATCTCGCTTTGGCATGTCAGACTTTGGAAAGGAGAACACTAGCCAAGCTGCAGGTATCAGCTGACCCACTGCTGGGGCCAGGCTCCCAAAGCGCTAGCAGAAAATGCCTCACAGCTCAGGCATCTGAGCTGCCAGCTAAAATGGTTAACAAAATCTTTTTTGCTTATTTTAAAACTTGTCTAAATCTAGGAAACTTCAACTGAGTCATGCGTGCATCTCTTTCAAAAGGTGAGTGCAGCACGATGCCAACTACAAGCACTACTACAACAAAGCCTGCGACACAGCCCAGCTTTTACACACCCCAGGGGATTAAGAAACTGTAAGGAAATGAATATTCATCTCAAAAGCAATACCCCGAAATCAAGTAATACCCAAATAATTGGTCACTAGCCTCTCGAGCACGTCTAGCTCCTTTCCTCTCAATCTGCTGCAAAAGATAAAGGAGAAATAACGTAGTTTTACAACACATTAAACCTAAGTTTTATTTAGTCACTTGCTTCCAAAGATTTGAGAGCTAAAGGTATCAATAAGGTACCAGAGTAGATATTAATGCATTTATATTTCTTCCTCTGAAGCTCTGCTAGAAATCAGCTTCCTTGGATTACTGGCCTGGGAACACAGAAAGAGTGAGCTAACATTCCCCAATTAGTGCCAAAGCTTATTAAAAATCTGCGGCTGTTGTAAATCATTTGTGTTACAAATGATTTAAAGCAATTGCCTATCATTATGAAGAGCGTTCCGTGAGTCCCTAAGTGTGTTAATTAATGCTCAGCTTTGGAGGAAAGCCAAAAGAGTAATTTCCAGCAGAATGCCTGTGTCAGCCACATAATGTGTTCAAGTAGGGATGCGAGACGTAAAACCCTTTTGCTTCTACCAGTCTGGCATGGGGTACTCAAGACTTTCTCCAACATCAAGTCCACTAGCTACCTATCAACTCTTCAGAGTTTCCATACCTGCAGAAATAGTGCCTTCTCATAACTCAGTGTGCAAGAGAAAAACAAAACAAGCAACACTGTAACACTTTTTCTGTAGAGAGAGAAACTTTAAATGTGTGCAGCTTGCCTTTTGAGGCAAGTCTCCCAAGTTTTCAGTAGGTCACAGTCAGCATCTGATGGGCTATGGAAAATCTAAACTCCAATCTGTAACAAATCATTTATAGCAATTATTCCTGCCTTTAACATTTGCCACCAACAGACATCCCGGGAGCACAGAGAGCATTTTTAACAAAACTCTGGATTTATACCAAGCCCAGGTTCCTTCAGATCTTGTTTCACAGAAGAAAAAACATTACAAGTTTCTAAAGCTACTTTCTGCCAATTTGAGAGTACAATAACAAAGATACTACAGGAACACTTGAAGGCAGACAGAATTCATTCTGAAGAGCCAGTCGATGTAGCCTGCGTTAAAGGTCCCTGCATTACATGTGATCGGCCAAGCCTTTGCCCAGTTACAGCAACAACATACACTGACACAAATTCTGAACTCTGTGCCAAATCAGTCATTCTGAAACTGTGCCAAGAAGAATGTGCAGTTTAGTGCTGAAAAGTTTCAGAGTCTCCAACTGTAAACCAATTAACAATGCACTCTCATCTCTTCTTGTTTAACCCTCTGTAAAGAGTACTAAGAGTAGTATTCAAAAAATACATGATAAAAGCTATAAAGGTATTTTTTTCCTGACAGTGAAAATATAAATGCTAAGACATTTCAAACGACCCAAATCGGCCCACAATTTGCAGGATAAGCAAATGACATTTGGATACCATATGGGCAACAAAAGGTAAATTACAAAAGGTGTGAGGATAACCAATTGCAGATATAAAATAGCATTAGTATAGTTGCCAGGTAGTACTCAGTGTTAACTTTGAGCTTAATGCCTGTAATGTGACAAACCAGAAAGAGAGAGGTTGCTGAGAAACTCAAAGCTGGGGAAAAAACAACCACCTCAAAAGACAGCTCCTTAGGAGTATGAAATTGCTCCCTCCTAAATTAAGAGGACATCTGAATCTCAAGCATTCCTAGAAAACAGTACCTAGTAACTTTAAAAAATGTAATAAAGAAATTATAGACAAGACATTGCAAAGATATCAGTTTAAATATTAACCAAGAAATCAAGTAATCAAATCTGACCAAAACTACTTTGGACAGAAAGATTCATTTTTTCAAAGAGTTTGGAAAGGAAAAAAAAAAAAAAGCTATTAACACCTCAAATCAAAGAAAGGATGGTGAGCTTGAATCTAAACAAACTGTGTAACGTTAACGAGGACTAATCAATGAAGTCTGAGACAGACACACTACAAGACAGTACCAAATAGCTGTGCTGTACTTCACAAGACAGGTGACTGCAGGCCCAGCTGGCCAGCTAGACTTTTGGCACTCTTCAAACTTATACTTGACTTTTTTCTTAATCACTTTCAGTTTGCAGAAAGCTAGGAGGAAGAGACAGGATCAAAATCGTGTTCTTGATCCCCGGGCTCCAGGAGTCAAACAAGGGACAGACAGACTTTCCATTCAACATCACAACTTCACAACTCTTCCTTACAAACTGCTGAAAGGAAGGGTGAAAATTCTGTGCAAAAAAACAGCAGATCTCTCACCAACTTCAACGTGAGCTAGAAGAAAAGTACTTTCTTCCCACCCTTTACAGTATATCATAAAATCAGGAAGAGGTGGAGAAAAGTGGGAAGAGTAGGAGAGGTATACACTCCTCCAAGCTGAAGCATTTTAATTAAGTACTAGCTCTCTGGATGCTCTCCTGGCAATGGTCAGCTACTGAATTGTTAGCAGCTTTTGAGACCAGTAAAGTTCTGTGAAGAACAATTGGTTGGAACTTAAAACACCTCAGCCAGCCAGGAAATGCAGTGGTAGTATTATTCACAAGCGTTACACTATAGCTAATGTCTACATTCACTATTACATTTATTTCTACAGCTCTCCTCAGGCTTTGGTACAGAGGGAAGGATGGCACTAGATGTGGCTACGGTACGAACACACCAACTGGTTAACTCCAATTCCACTGCATGCTCCAGCGAGGCTTTCTTTCAGTAAAGTAAGAAGAAACCTGTTCTTTCTTTTGCCTGTTTTCACTCAGAATACAGAAATATTAGCGCTTCCCTTCTCAAAATGAGTTCTGTAAATACTGGGAAGCAATTAGACTACAAGAACATTAGCAAGGAATGTTAGCAGTCCAAGACAATGGCCCATTGCTGTTTCATCTTTGCTCAGAAAAAATATAAATTACTTTCTCCCTGAGACTTTGTAGAAAAAACAGTATTCCAAATAAACCTAACAAAGTACACTGTAGAGTGAAATGTAAAAAGAGAATGGCCCAAAAGAGATAAAGTTTGTAGTCTGACAGTAAACAAGCGTCTTCTGCAAGCACACATTTGGCCACAGGAGTTAACAACTGATTTAAGATAAAAGACTGTACAAATATGATATGGATTTAACCAGAAATTAAGAACTTCCATTTACATTTTAAGTACGAAGACTGTATAAATTAAATACAGAAAAAAACCCCCCAAAATGCAAAGAAACCAACCCAAATGCTCAACATACTCACAGATGCTCCATAATCAAAGATCTATACTCACCTTTCATTAAGAATTACACTAGAATATTACTGATTTTTAAATTACACTTTTTTGGAAACATGAAGACAAGAGACATACACCACAGGAAGACATTTCATATACCTGTTCTCCTTGCCATTTTGTATCACTGAATGCCTATCGGCAGTGGTTCTCTCACTACAAACATACGTGTTGCGCCGTGTCATTGCTCCGGGGGCAGTATTATTCTACGATTAAAAAACACAGGCTTGTTATTCCCCATAGACGATGTTTCTGCGGTTAAGTCTACATACAGCTGAAGGTTGTTTTACTTCACGCTACTTCTACACAGTTATAACACTTAAAATAAGTTATAATACAAACACCATCTAGTATTTTTAAGGAACAATTCAATCAGAAAAAATAATTCTAACAAGTTGTTTTTGTATTTCATGTCAATGGCTCAAAATGAATATAGCTTAAAGTTTTTATTTACCAATGTTCTGAATTATAAATTCTCAGCATGTATAGCATTCATCTACATCTGGATAGCTTATGTCTTTATAGCCTTTTTTGAAATACTTTACCACTTGGAGATTGCAGAATTTTCCTTTAAGTTAAAATCATACCCTTAAACAAGATAGGAAAAGCAAAGACTTAAGAAACAAATGTGGTAAAATTCAGTGGGAAGGTAAACATGAATTTTTAAATATTAAAATACTATTAAACACTAGACAAGTTTTGAAAACAGGGAAGAATTAGTCAAATTAAAGAGACAAACTGCAGAGAATTTTAATAAGACATTTTAAAAAGCATACATTGAGATACAAGCATAATACATTGAGGACAAGAGAACCAGGGGAACTTAAACTACAGACCTTACTTGAGAGGGGAGAAAAGAAATAGAATTACTTTGCCTCTGTCTTTACAGAGAAAGAGGGTGGAGATATGCCCAAGTTGGCGGTCAATTTTCCAGGAACGACTGAGAAGCTAGGTAATTCACAGATAACAGAATTATACAATGTTAGATGCAATTACTGAAGGAAAAGCATGGTGGTCCAAGATAAACATGCACCCCCAGGTCGTAGAGGAAGTATAAGCCGGCAAGCCTTACATTTTTTTCTCCCCACCCCAAGAACATAACACAGGAAACTGCATATGGTTGGAAAGTGGAAAAAACCTTTAAAAATCGTCTTTAAAGAAGAGGATCACGGGGTAAAGCAGGAAGCAAAATAGGCTATTAACTTTAAACATCACTGCTGGGGAAAGTCTTGGAGGAGGCTGGCTTAAGGGAATGACTGGTCAGCACCTGGATAAGCACATGTTGAGTAAGGATGGCCACTAAAAATCAGGCAGGGGACTTCATGCTTGACTAACCTTTTGCAGCTCTTTGAAGAATTACTGCTATGATAGACAAGGGAAATTCAGCGGATTTTTAAAATAGCATTAAGAAAAGGTTTCACATAAATGGTCACAGTAATCGTGGGAAGGACTTAAAAAAAAAAAAAAAGGAAAAAATAGTTCAAGCACAAAAGGAGAGTAGCCAAACCTTTTTTTGTTTCCGAACCTGAAATAGAACTATTAAAATGGAGTATTCTCGATAACCAGCAGAATCTTCTCCGATGCCTTAAGGCAAAATATTTGCTATAACAGGAGTCAAGCAAAAGAACCCCTGAGGTGCAGATTTAACAATGAAGCCATCTTGTCTGTTAAAATGACTGTTGACTTGTTACACATCTTTATGTGGATGTACAGATAAAAATGAAAAACTGACCTGCGCAACCTCCTGGCGTTAGAAAGCACAAACAGTATCAAGACTACCTGAGATTAGCAGAACTAGTAAGTCGTAAGATGTATGTAGCTGTCTCAAGGGTTCTCAAGTATTCTCCACTGGATATTCCTTAGACATAGGCATCTACCAAGCATTAGCAAAGTCCTCCTGCCCTTTTCTTTGTACTTTATTCCTTATACACCCCTTTTCCTCAAATCTCTTTACTTGTTTTTAAAGAAAACATTGATTCTTCCACTTTCCTCTCCCACTTGTCATTGTGCCAACTCCCCTCTCTTTACTAAACTTGCTAGCAATGAAACAGTGCACGCAAGGTGGGGTTCTGTTCTTATGTGCTTGAGAGGCCACATTAATGCAAGATGCTTTATGGAGATCTTCCAAACCAACGGTACACTGAAATATTTTGTATTAATATTTGCACAAAATTTTGTTCAGCGATCCTGAAGATATTCAAGAATGAAGCACCTAGAATACCCGACAGGTTTTTTTTCTGGTGGGGAAATATGCACAGTAACGGGTGGCTTCTTTCTTTCCACCTGCTCCCTTACAACATCAAATATTTGTTTGCCTTGAGAAGCCACCACATACCACTAAAATGTACCGTGATTCTGCACATCTGAAAAAGACAAGGCAGCAATCGTTGTGCTGGATCAAACTTTAAAAACTGTGCATTGGTATATGCATCTAAAATCAGCTGATTCTAAAGATTCCAGCCCTTTCTGGAATGCAAAGGCAGAAGGATCAGTGTACTTTTTTTTCCTCTTTGGCTCAGATTTCAGAGATCATGAGAGGAGTTATAAGCATTTTAAGCTTTCGAATTTCAGTTTTAGCAAGAACAGAGTCTTGGTAGTGGGGGCTTTAATCTTTTTAGCATACGACCTTCCACAATTCATCAAGGAAGTTCTTCAGTTGTGACTTTTTTATTCAGCCAGTCTACAGCCTACTGATCTCTGGATGTGTCTACGCTGCAAAGGTGCACAGCACAGGAAGCTTGAACCTGGTGTCAGCAGCACTACACTCTCTGGCAGAATGACAACCCCTAGGGTTACAGGAGTTGCGTCAGGGCTTCGGCGGCCTTCTTTGCAGGAGGTCCTGATGCTGCAAAAGCACCTGTTGAGACCTCCAAGCACACGCACAAGGTCCAATCACAAGCACAAAGGACGAATTTGTGATGCAGACTCCTCTTGTCCTAGAGAGTCTTGTGTTCGCTGCTTAGGCAGGCTATTTTCACATTAAGAGACACCAAGGTAACAACTGATGAAAACTTTCCAAAGCATCAGCTTCTGACTTACAATAATGAACTAAACTACTAACTGAAGAGCACTGGTATGTTTTTGGTCCCAGGTGTTTTTCCAAACATACCATCTGTTTCACTCTTCCAGTTTTCTTACATCTATACTGCACTCAGGGCTCTGGGGGCAGCCTTATTACAAGACATTGAGAAAAAAATCCAAAGCTGTGAGTAATAAACAAAGAGTTATTAAGGGGTTACTAGCTGCTGCTAACTATGCAACCCCTGGTGCAGGTTTTCATTATTAATTTGGTACTTGTCCAATGAACTCAAAGATTTTTGACATGCACTTGTTCAGCTCGCGGAACTATTTAGTTTGCAGAGTTTAAACGCTCTGTCAACTTCACAAGTACAGCCTGGTGCCCCTTACTTACCCCAGACATAGCTATCTGCTCTACAAGCACAACTCTTATCCTTAAGTGCATGCTTGTAAGCTTTGCAATGCTGTAAGAGCAGCACACGACTGGCTAAGAGTCTCCAGCAAGAACCAGTTAATCTACTTCCACTGTATTTGCCAAAATAATAATCCTTTTTAAATGGTAATTTTCTGACTCTTCCATGATCTTCTCATCACACTACCGATACTAAGATTTAAGCGCTCAGGGAGAATCCAAACTTTCCATCACCTCAAACTTTTTTCAACTTCAGGACAATATGGTAACATCAATATCCCTATTTTCCTCCTAGGTGAATGCCAACACCGTAAGAAATAAAACTCTCTAATCAGTTCCGGGAACTGCATAAAAAGTCAGTGCTTCCCTGCATCCCCAAGAGCTAGAAAGCAAAAGACTAATCTCTAGCAGGAAACAAAATAGAAAAAGAAGAAAGAATCATGTCCCTGTCTAATTGAGTGGCTTCACAAGTCTGATTCCATGTTCACCACCTTCTACCACTGCTTGTAAAAGAACCGTTAGATCAGCTGCACGCTGAATCAGAAGTATCCTGTGGTTGTAAGCTCACATTTTATTTCAGCTACAGTAGTATAAAATTTGAAGTAAAACTACTGCAATATATCCCCAGGATTTGGGAGCAGTGTAGAATTGTAGATCAAAGTAATAAAGATACTAAATGTTAAATATGCTGTAACTGTGATACAAAGGTCTTCAATAAGGCACTACACAATACCGAGGGAAGTCCAATGCAGGGCAAAGCTGATTTGATTACAATACCGAGGGAAGTCCAATGCAGGGCAAAGCTGATTTGATTATTCTACCAGTATGACACTCAGTAGCTAAGAAGTGTCATGTAAAAAGAAACAAAATCTGAATGGTTTCTGGACTGATCAAAAACCAAGGGAAAGGGCAAGGGACCACAAAAATCTGAACATGGTTCCCCAAAATCAAGAGCTTTTGTTTGCATTTATGAGTAACAGCTGCTACAGTAGAAGACGTGTCTTTCCAGTGAATCTCTTTGTCTGCAATCCTCCAGCCAAGTCACTATCGGTCACTGAGCCAACTGACAACACAGAGCCAGTGAAGTAAAACAAATCTTATTTTACTTCTTTTGCTTCAAAAAGCTGTGAGCTCAGGAAGTTCTGTTCTCATTTCTTGTAAGTAATGGTGCTGAGTATAAGACAGCTTTGTGGGAAAAGTTTAAAAACACCCAAAACACTCCATTCCAAGTTGAATGAAGAACTGGAAAGTTATTTCTTCTGAAAAGAAGGAAGTTTTTCCAATACCAAATCCCAAACTTTTAGAAATTAAATGTTACAAAACTCAAGAGTTATACAGAAACAGATTTCCAACTGCCTACTGCTGAATGCTGTAAATTCACCAGTTACACACCTCAGTGTGTTTTGTTTTCCTGCTGTTGAGGTTTAGGGGCAGGTGGCGGAAGCCCAGAAGGACAAAAGCCAGGCACACTGCTTTTAAATACAGGCTGAAATACACCTTTGAACAGTTTTTAGAGCTATATTTCTTTGATAATCTTAGTAGGCATAACTATGACTTGGAATAGTCTAAGAAAAAAGATTAGGTGGCTTCTTACACACGTGAAACTGTAAAAAGGTGCAAGAAAAAATAAAGATTTCATTCTTCTGCATAGAGGCCACAAAAAAGTGGTGATATTTGAAATAACTTCTACAAAATTTCAGGGGACAGCCTTTGGGTTCAGTTTTTTTCCTTCTAAATGATTTTTTACCCACCTAAATAATGTCTGTTCACTAACAGCTACTAGTGCTAATTATTAATACCTATTAACTAGTTCAGGAATATTAATAGGCAACTTGAGTAGCTAACTGATGCAAGGGGAAAAAAGCCACAGTATGAGATACCTAAATTTACTCTTGATGAATGAAAAATAAAATCAGCACCACTGATAAATCACAGGTTTAACACCTCTTCACCCCTCAAAAACACCGCATGGTTTTGATAAATAAGTGTTTTTACTTACACTAGGAACAGCCGAACTTTTCTTACGTTCAGGAATATCAGCCTTATTGGGATTGCTGGCATTTCCAAGCATTGGACTGGCAGGCGCAATTCCTCTTCCTGCGACAGCACTACTGCTGGATTTTCTTGACTGAATTCCTTCCTCTTTGAGGTCACTGTCTGTAGTACTAGTCTGGCTTCTTTTGGGATATGCCACTACTGAAGGGATGGATGGTCCAGCTTAAAAAAAACAAACGAAAGAAGCAAGAAAAGAATTTTTCTTCTCAGAAGTTTAGTAGCTATTTTTCACTACAATGGAAATGTATTCACACTAGAGAATCAAAATAATCACTGGGAATCAGAGTTGCAAAACCTAATTATTTTAATTATCAAAATACATGTACTTCAGAAGACAGTACATGTACTGTACATGTAATTCAGAAGACAGTAAAATATTGGGAAAACCAAAAAACCTTTCCAGGTGAAGATATCACCTGATTTCCATGAAAGAATTATGAATTTTTTGGTTGCTTCTGGTGTTTGAGTAGTGACACTAACTTGGCTTGCTAGGCAAAATCCTTTAGAGTAATCTTAAAGACACTGGAGAAGTTACTCAATGAGTAACCGGCTCATTCCAACCAGTAGATATTTCATTAGCTCAAAGCTTGCATGTCTCATTCAAGCCAATTTCTGATAAAACTGGGCTCCTGAGATAGGTACCTGGTGACACAAATCCTGGACCTCCAGCAGCAGCAGTCCCAGCTGACAGACTGTGCTCCTGGCACAGCCCAGAAGCAGCCGTGGTTTGTCACCAGCCCTGTCCCCAGGTGTGCCAGGGACAGAAAACTGCTCGGGCACACCTGAGAATGAGGCAGCCCCTTCAACAGTCCCACTCTCCATCTTGCTTTAAGGGGACCCTGGACACTGGGCAAAGACTGTGGAGTGTCCAGATTGCGTCTTCTGCTAATCTCAATTACACCTCCTCGGGAGAGGATACACCAACTTGGTAGTTAGCATTTTAACAATTGATCAAAAGGTGTATGCATGCATATACACACACATATATAAAAACACATATAAGTATATATAGAATATATAAATATATATTTTCTATAGAAAAGCATCACAAATCAGAGTAACCACCATCCCAAGAGGCTCCCCAGGTAAAACAACCTCTGAATGCACCAGAGGTATTTAAAAGTAAATTTAAACATAGATTCCTTTTAAGAGTTAAGTGTCTGAGCAGGAAGATGATTAAGATATTCAGAAAATCCTAAATTACTACCTTGCAGACTCATTAAGCAGAAGAGTTCTAACTTTGTCTGAGTCTCTGTTCTTTAGAAATTTAATCCTGCAGGACAAGCAAGTGACACTACCCTCAGGAAACAAGAAATATTGGCAAACTGACATTTCTTCAAGTTTTAGATACAAGCTGACCTACTAGCGTCAAAAGAAAACAAAAGATGAACAGACACACAAGAGCACAGGGGAGGAGTGCTGTGCTTTTCATGAAAAAGAGGGTTGCAACATTCTCATCAATTTGTGTAACGAGACTTTCCCAGCACGGTCAGGAACGCAAGGGACAACCCAAGGCAGAATAAGAGAATTACGTTGGTGTATTTGGCATTCCTCTAGAAGCTGGTTCTGAAAGCTTTATAATAAAACCATTTTTAAAAAAAAAATATTAGTTATTCAGTCAATAAGCACTGTGCTGTGTGCTACACAGTTGTCACCCTCCTTACCTTTGGGGGATGGAGACATTCAGAAACTGGACAGAACTGGAAGTCACTATACTCTGCAACACTGAAAATGAGAATTGCTCACCGTGATCACTGTACCGCCGCTGCTTCTGGCTAGAAGATATGCTTCTCTGAACTTTGTGATGAGGAGATTGTCCAGTGCTATTATTAAGATCACTACTTGGCCTAACTTTGGCAAGTGAAAGATTGCTGCTGGAGCTTGAATCACTTGCATCCAACTACAATACAAATGAGAATATTAAAACAGGGAGTTCAGACAAAGCAAATTAAACATCCACCACATTATGGGAGCAGTAAGAGGGAGGCAGAAGGAAGATGACTGGTACACAGAACATTATGTGACAGCAAGGAAGTTGCTTAGAGGCTCCAATTTCTCTCAGATTTTTCTGCAACTGTCCTAGGTAAAACTCTGGAATTTGCAGCTCCTCAAAGGACAATTGGGTAAAGAAAATCCATCTCTACTCTCAGCATTTTCTCCTCAGACCTCTCTAAGATCTTAATAGGAAGAGAGGATACATTCGAAGAAGTCACCACTCCAGTAACTCCAGCATAGGAACCAAGAGCACCTTAATGCTGCTGAGCTCTCTCAGCATCAAACAGAAAGGTAATTTACAATGCAAGAACTTCTTTGGGTTCATCAGTTCTGCTCTTTTATTCTCTTAAAATATTTACAGCTGGCACATTCACACTCGAGCTCCTAGACAGGACAGGACAGTAACTGGCATGCAAAGTCTGTCAGAGGAATAACTGCCAAGCAAGCAGAGTAGTTTTGGGGAACCTACAGGCAGGAGTTTACTAACTCAGATCAAGGTGAGAACAAATATAGCATCATTTGGACAGCTGTCACTGATGGTTAGAATAATGTGATTTTAAGTGCGATGGACTTTTACCTATAGCTACTGACTTAATTTTTGCTTCTAACTTTTTTCTAAGGACACTTTCTGATTTCTTTGTTTCTTTGCATTTATAAGAATGGTACTTACCTCTGATGATTTCCTTCCTAGCAGTAAGTATGTAGCTGTGATTTCATCATACTTCATTTTACTAAGGGATTCTTGAATTTCTTCTTGAGAATATCCCATTCCTACCATAATATCTAAAACCAAACATACATTCTGTAAGTAACAAACACTCTGATGTTTAGGATGGCTAAGTATTTAAGCCCAAGAGAAAAAAATGGAATATTTAAAGAATTAAACATAACAATTAAGTGTGAGAACATAAGCTTGATGAGATATCAATATTAAAAGATCAGTTATTTTTTCCAAATGGCAATCAAATACAATGGCAGAGGAAAAAACCAAAACAGAACACCCACATCATGCAAATAGTACCGTGTTCTGAAAAATACTGATTACCTATTCTTTTCTGGTCCGAGATGTCTAGTTCTGGTTCAACAAAAGGTTTAAGTTCATCTTCCTCATGTCCTGCATTGATCCACCTGTCCTTCATAATTTGCTATAAAAGAAAGGGGTTTCTTAGGACAATACACTCACCAGCAAAAGAAAACAAGCTATTGAGAGAAAAACTCCCCTATCTACCAAACACTAAGGCATTTTCTAATTTTTCTTTTCCAGAACAGGCCTCAGCACCTACTCAGTTTTGTTTTGCTCTAGTGAGGAGAATCAACTCTGCATATCGAGCCAAGCTGCTTCCCAGTGAGCTGTACTCTAGCACATAGCTGAAAGCTAAAAGCCCGTAACACAGACCAGTAGTAGATCAACAACTCTGACAAGTCTAGTAGGTCCAGGCTCAACTACAGAAGTCAACGGAAGCCCGTATTGTTTCAGCCTTTCTCCTCCATGATGGTAAAAAATGGAGGCAAAAGGCAACTGCATCATAACCTAGCAGCCAATACTTCCAGCTCACATTCTGAAAATGTGGAAAATGTCTTGGTGGGTGATCCTTTAACGCAGGAATCCGTAAGGTAACCACCATGGATAGTTCTATGACATACGCAGTGTAGTCTCACACACAGTTCGAAAGCAACTGTGGAGTCGGGTGTCTTATAACCCCAGTAAACAATATCTCAAAAAAGAAGTCACACGCTTTACTCGGTACTCCCCTCCTCGAACTCACTCCAAATAAACTATTCAGGAATGGTATGATAATAGTAAGTTACAGCCCAAACATACAGCTTGCAAAATGTATAGCTTTCTGATGCACATTATTTGTGCCATTACCTCTAGAGTGCCTCTTTTCGTTGGGTTTAGCACCAGGAAACGTTTGAGGAGGTTTTCACAGTCTGTGGACATGTAGAAAGGAATCCTGTATTTTCCCCTTAGCACTCTTTCTCTAAGTTCCTTGGTAATAGAAGAAGAATAGAGAGTAAGTTGTAAGCAGCATATCATTTAAAACATTAGATAAATGTGCCCAACATCTTCTAAAAAAGCATACCTTTAAGTTCTGTCCATCAAAAGGAAGAGATCCACTCACAAGAGTATAAAGAATAACACCTAAACTCCAAACATCTACCTCAGGTCCATCATACTTCTTCCCTTGAAAGAGCTCTGGAGCAGCATATGGTGGGCTGCCACAAAAGGTGTCCAGTTTATTTCCGACTGTAAACTCATTGCTAAACCCAAAGTCAGCTATTTTAATGTTCATATCTGCATCTAGCAATAGATTTTCAGCCTGGAAGAGAAAGAATGGTTTTTAAGATGAATGCAAAATACTTGCTAAGAATGCTATTGTTCGTTTTTACTCATGCTTAAAAGGCAAAAAACTGAAATATCTGCTGGCACTCCCTTCCTTGCAAGGTCTTTACCTATGCTTTAGTCTATCATTCACATATCCAATTTCAAAAAACTCTGTACAACGGCTTCAGACTGTAGGGTTTTTTAAGTGGGTTTGGAGTTTTTTTGGTAGTGGTGTTTTGTTGTGTTTTTTTTTAAAGTTACCAAGATATGATATGTTGAACAAGTTATGTGGCAAAACTATTAATACAAAAGGCATGGTTTAAAGAAGTGATACGTTTCATGAGAAGCTATAAAGAAGCCATACTTCAGTTTCATCATCACAACCTGGTAATTCACTGTTGGAAATGAAAACTTGTCATACATCTATGAAACTATCTTTTTTTTTTCTCCAAAGATCCCTCTGCTAACACTGATCTGAATTGGATTTGAATCTGACCACAGGGTGAGAGGCTATCCTTCAGCACTTTTAAATTTCTGTATTTAAAAGCCTTACAAATCCTCCTGCTTTTATTTGAAATGGTTCTATACTGCAAACATTCCTCAAAACTTGTTATAGCATATGCAAAACAATAACTAAATTAGAAAGCTTAATATACACTACATTTTATCTGCACAATAAGGATCACACACACAGGTACAGAAGCTGACACACAACTCATGCACTTTTTCCTACTCACCTTGAGATCTCTATGAACAATATGCTTTTGATGGCAATACTGCACTGCAGATACTATCTGGATAGAAAACAAGCCCAATTACGTAAGTGACATCTCAAAAAAACAGGGTTTTTAATCAAAAGGTTCAACACTTATTACTAAAGTTGACATATACTTACCCACCCAGAGCTATGTAACCAACTACTGCAGTAACCAGCATGTTTGGGGAAAAGCTGCTACATAACTTAGGTGTTTGTTACTTGATCTATTTGGTTTCTACTATACTTGAAAGAGGATTTTGTTTTTCCTGTGTGGCTAATTATAGACCAGGAGAAGCAATGACTTTCAGAAAGGTTACTGAAGTATTTCCATTCCAATCCTGTATACAGCTATAAAAGCTTTCCCTCTAGACAAGTTTTCCAGTCCCTCTCCAAATGTGATTTTTCATGCTGCAACATGGAGAAAAAAAGGGTAAGAAATGGGCTTAGCTACTGGAAAAACTACTGGGACAGAGCTTGTTTGTCAAAACTTACGCAGTGAGCAGCACCTATGCATCTGACAGAGGTCAGAGTGATCGGCTATCTAAGAGCATATGGGTTGGTGGTGTTTTTTTTTTTATACTGTACATGAGTAGCAAACTCAACAGAAAAAACTATGTCTCTCAACTGTAACAGAGTAATTTCTTCCATCACAATTTCCAAATATCACTAAGTTTTTCCTGCTTTATATAGCAAACTATGTAAGACAAAATACAGTGCCCTAGTACATCCCTTTAGAGTCATAAGCATTGCTGCAGAACTCTACATGTATGGAAAAGCTGGAAAAAGTCTTAATGTTACATGAGCACTAACGCAGTCAAATCCATTTTATTGCCATGCATAAGTAGTCAGATGCTATGACTTCTTAAAATAAGTGGAACTCCACATAAAAATACTTTACTGTAGTAACTATGCTTAAATAAATGTATTTCCATTCTTCATTCAAGAGACAGATTTCCAGGACAGAAAGGTGAGGTATCATTGCTGTTACAGAAGATAACTCGTCGTCAGACCGCCTGGCTTAGCGTAAGGATTCTCCTGCCCTGGTAAGAAGCAATGGTTCTCTCTCACAGTATTTGAAGCAGGGGAAAATAAGGTTCTTGGTAGGTCAAAGAACTGACATACCAGTCAATTTTGTGTTTGAAACTTAAGCACCAATGTTATGATCTTTGTGCCCCTGTGTTACTGAATCACGCATGTGCAAAATGCCACCTTAGAAACCAAGCAGCCTGTGAAAAGTTGAAGTATTTCCACTCCCTGCACATTCTTTCTGGTTTTGCTCGTTCCTTTATGTATTGACTCCCTGTTTCAGCCTTCAAGTTCAGCTTTTTACAGTTACTGAAACTGCCGGAGCTCTCCCATACCACCAAATGCACCATCCTTTCAGCTTTCCTTCCTCTCCTCTCCGCTTCCATGACTGTAGCACCAGCCACAAGCTCTCCCCGCAGGGGATTCCAAGGCTGAAAGCACGACAAACACCTCCAGCTTTACTCAGGGGCTGCAGAGACACAGTGCTATACTGCTCACTCCTAAACCACTTTTACTCTGACCACTGAAATGCAGAAGGTCTAGTAGTGATCAGTCAATGGTTTCCTCTGGAGATGCTTTTGAACTCCTCTGTATTGCGACAGGACAGCACAGAGATCGCAGAAGCGAGCCCAACTTAAATGGAAGGGAAATAATGCAATGCGTGTGGCATTAATAATTGCAGAACAGCAGTCACAACTGAATGAGAAACAGCACGAAGCACAGCTGCACGGGATCGACTCCCTTGTCTTCCACCTCTCACCACTGGTTCCAGTGACAGCCCCTCACCCCCAACCTACGGGAGCGTGAGAAGTTTGCTGACGCTTGGCAGGTGGGGAGAAGAGGGGAAGAAGCAGCAGACCTTCTTCCTAGAGTTAACAATCAGAGCACTGAAATACATTTCTTGGGAGGGATTTCAAAAACCTATATAATCATAGGTTTTAAAGAACAAGTTAGAACAAGTTATCTCCAGGCAGAGAAAACATTCCCTTCTGTCACTTAATTCTTAGGATGACAGGTAAATGACCTATCAAGGTCCTTTTCAAGCTGCCACGAGTATTTTGTTTCTTAAACTGGAATATACAAGTAAGATTCATATTGTGGATTTTTTTTTATTTTCCAAGATCTGTCCTAACATCTATCAGAATTTAAAAAAAAAATCTAAACTGCTTCTGCGGGGAAACAGGGCGAAGACTGAACTGAAGGAGGGCAAATCTAACTGCCTGCAGTAAAGAATGGGAAGGAATTAATATATGTGAATTTTGGGAGATCCTGCACCCTGAGTCTTGGCTTCCTACTTGTGCATTAATTCTTACGCAGATGGACAGATTTTTTTTTGTGGAAAACCAGAACTGCTTGGAAGCCTGGAACACGGGAAGGAAAACAAGATGACATTAAGAATGCAAAATGTTCTGGATTTGAGTTTCTCACACATGGCTGCACAAAAGCAGCTTGCAAGGGAGAACCGCAGAGCATGGCTGTGTTCTTAGTGTTTGTACCGTGTCCTGTGTTCCTTGTCAAGCATGACTGGAATAACATGATCACTATCTTCTACATTCTTCTTTCGTTTTAAAAACCTTATGTGTAACAAAATGGCTCAAAACCAATTTTTTAAACAAATAGGGGAGAATTACCAAGTTCTACATCTGCCTGCTGGAGAGGAAGGGCCTCCTCAGATAAAATACAAGTGTCTGATCTGAAAATAAGATATAATACAACCAACCTATTGTAAGAACTAAGTTCAATACCACAGCACAACTGTTTCTTCGGTTTAAAGAGAGCCACTGTCTGTTAAACCAGTTAGCAAATTCAAAAAAATAAACTAAAAAAAATTTCCTTATTACATTATAAATCTCTATCCAACGTAAGAACAGCTGCACTGAATCAGATAAAAGGTCTACAGAGAACATTCTCCCTCCAACAATGGCTAAAAGCTATATCAAGCTATTCTGGGACTACAGTAAGGTGAAATGAATAATTTTATGACCTGTAAACTCAGTAAGATCTAGCTTCCTTGGACACTGCCCCAGAGTCAGAGTCCTAGCACCTAATAAATGCCAAGCTCTGATCAAAGTTGACCGACTTCTGTCCGGTGTGCATGCTCTTCTCTCTGGCAAAGCGCAGCGAGCTCATGCTCCAGCCTTTTTCCTTGGGCTGTTACCAGGGTTCTTTCTTTTTCCAGGCACTCACGCTTTTGAAGCTCTCAAGAACCTCTCATCTTTGAGATAAACGTTCCCTAAAAGTGATTTAGCTCGGTAGCCGGGAAGTCAGCTGTTGAGGGAGGATGGAGCACAGCTGCCTGAGTAAGGAGACTAGACTTAGAAGAAACTGTAAAACATACTTCGGATTTCAGTGGACTCAAGTGAGGCCCATCTACACATACATCTTTGCAAGCAGCATTTAATCTAACAAAGTACAAGAAAAAAGAAAAAAAATGCAGCAAGCTGACAATTTGAAGTACATAAAATCAACACTTGATGGGTCAAATACCCAGCTCAGCAGTTAACTACCTTTTAAATTCCCTTCACATTTGTTTTTGAAAATTTAAATTACATACATCCTGTACTACCCATATTATCCCATAAAATTAAGCACTAAATGTACCTGTAAAACCCGTTTGACCTGTTTCCACAAGTTTTCACTTAAAGGCAAGTGGAATTGTTAGAAAAAAAATAGGTAACTGCTGAACAATTTCAATGGCATTACTGCAAGATCTTTTTCCACACAGCTCCCGATAAAAGAAACTGAGGACAAAGAGCAGAGAACCATACTGGTAGAAGTTTTCAACATTCACATTTGAGAAAGAACAGCAAATCCTCTCAAGTTACTCTTGAAGAAGCTCTTCAAGTGACATTACAAAGGGCAAAGCAACTGTCTGGGATTTAGACAAGAAGGCTGAAGTGGAACGACTGCTCCACAGCCCAGCACATCTACTCCACTACAGCACAGAAACACACACCAGAAACTCTCAGTCACAAAGGAAAGTTCTCTACCTGTCAGAATATGAAAGAGAGGGAAGCAGCTTTAAAAAGACATGTACGAAGAAAAGAGGAAGAAAAATTTTCCTTACTATCAAATATAACCTCAGTGATCACAAATCACTTCTGGGAACACGAAGTGTGCAGCTGCTTTTTTTTCAGTTGTTTTGTTTGTTGGCTGTTTTGGGGGGTTTTTTCGTTGTTTCTCCCCCCCAAAAAAGATTAAAGAGGGCAAAAACAAGTTTGAGAGGGATGAGCAAAAACAAAGGAATGTGGATTTCACAGAAATGCTTTTGTTGTCTCTTTATGTTGGGCGAAATACTCTTCTATTGTTCTTTGCTTTCACTGCTACTTTTGAACTTATTGTTTATATTGCTTTCACACAATTCTCACTATATGAGACAGAGGGAGGAAAACAGTTGTGACACAGTTTCCTAGTTCCCAAATTGTTGCTTTTGGTCACACTACCCACACTAGAGAAGCGTTAAAGTTTCTTTACAAGCCATTTTGTGAAAGTCATTAATTTATTTCCCAGAAGTCTCATACATCAAATTTCTTATACTTTTGTATGGCTGTGATTAAGAAGCGAAACTATTGGAGCCCTACCGTTCTTCCACCAGTGAACCTGACTGTCATATCATTGTCACAATTCACCAACTGAAAATGCCTACAAGCCATTCAACAAAACGTTCTTGTCCCTATTCATTAAAGTGTCATCAAGCAGGCGCATAATTTTGATATTTATCACTTCTCACAATATTATCTAGGTTATCCAAGTGACCAAAAGGATGGAAATAATGTAGGCATTTACAAATTTCTGCACAAGAGCAGAAAACACAGCATATCAGACCAGTCAGATCTGCAAATGAAACTCTAGATTCTAAAAGAGCAGAGACTTGGATTTAAATTAGTTATGCAAAAATATCTGGTTATGTTCAATACTGCTGTACTGCTTTTTACAGATCAATGAAATTCCAACATCTTTGCACGTTTTTTTATTCATCCTAAAGAAAGCTAAACTAACAAGCCTAGAAGTTATTTTTCCATGACGTTTTAGACCAACAATTAAACTGCATCTTTTCATGCAAGCTGATGGATGTGAACCCATCCCTGTTACATGGCACCGCCTGCACTTTGGAACTGCCCTGTTTGTAGCCTGCTACATCTGAGTAACTTCCAAAATCTCACACACCAGCCAAACTACAGCTATATGAAATCAACCCAGAGGAAATGCATTTTGGAACAGAATGCACTTCCAAATCAAGCAGTCATTGTGTCCTGGCAGTCCTGGACACCCCACCACAGAGCATTAAGGAAACCAGCATTACTGAATGGATTACTAACCCCTCTGAAGTATTACTGTAACCCAAGTTTTTTCTCACTGAGGGCTGAGTCCAAAACATACTGAACACTGCTAGAAGTCAAATGCAAAGGACAGTCGTTTTACTCATTTCAGCATTAAAAACAAGGATGAAAAAGCTGATGCATAGGAATGTTATACATACCTGTCTAAATTTAGCTCTAGCCTCCTTTTCCTTCATTCTTCCATGTGCAACCAGATAGTCAAACACTTCCCCTACAATTCAATAACAAGATACGTTAACGCCAATTTCAGAATCTAGATATTCCTCTCCAGCAGTTTCCCACAGCAGCTTCCCTGGAATGACTGTACTTCAAATTTATGATTACAGGTTTAGGCTCAAGACAACAAAGCACAATTGTCATGCAATTTACCACACAGTCATCTCTTACACAAGAAAATAATAAGACTTGACGAATGACTGGATATAGACCGAAAAATCCCATTTCCTTCCAATTATTTATGACAGAAACTGAGCAGCATACCTCTGTTTTGTAAAAAAAGATGACGTACAACCTCACAAACTTTCTCACAGAGGTTTCTTTTGCCCCACAAAAAAAGCTTCATACATGAGAGCACCTGATATTTGTAAACAACGTCAGACCGCACTAGAACTTCTCGTTGTGCATGTGTGTGAAGTTGTTCTAACCAAAAATCAATCTCTCAGCTTTGACCTAAGCTTGGAAGAGGTACCCACAAGGAAGGTCACAATGTGAGCACAGAAGGACACACTGACAATCCATCAGACAACCACGAGATCTGTAGGATACATTGATAAGGATTACTCTTGAGTAAGTCCAGTGTTGTATGGCTGTGGATAACTAAAGAAGATTACTAAAGTGGTACTAAATATCTGTTGTGGGTGGTGTTTTTCTTCTCCCTTTGATCAATCCAGTCATTTTACAGCACATCAATATTGACTACAATGTTTGAGCTTTCGGTGCAGCCAACTGGCCCATGAAACATCAGCGTGTTTGTGAGAGTATGGGAGATTTTCTTTACTAAAACCCAGTAGTGACATACAGAAGAACTCAGATTAGTACACAGTTCTAAAACCACTCTGCTAATATGCAAAATTAATAAAAACTTTAGAACTGGATCATATTCTAAATATTCTGTACTGAGCAAGAATATTCACAAGGGAAGAGCTGAGAAACTCCACATTTATTTTTGAAAAGAAGCAACTCCACCAAACGGGAATAAAACCGTAGGGTCATACAGCAGGAAATGCAGCAACTGAGCAATCTGAGGGAATGTCAGGATTTTCTACAAACCAGAAAAGTTCCTTCCGTGCTGTATTACTTAATACTCAGTTCAGATAACACTTTCAGCTGTATTACACAGCTGCTTCTTCAAAAACCCTGAAGGAAAGAACCTGAACACTTTTTCATAATTCAAGGAAAATGACACAGAGAAAGCATTATCCCCAATCTATGAAAAGTGTTGTAGTTGCAGCAATAGTTTCTTTCACCCTGCAGCCACAGAGCTCATGTATATCATGTCTGACCAGTATCTCAATAGAAAATAAGGAAAAGTGACACCTGCCACCAAGACCACCAGCCACTCCTGTCCTGCACAACGAGACACATGCAAAGGGCCTTTTAGACCAGTTGACTACTTATCTCTGTGTTAGCCTGAGAAAGATCCCTGCTACTTTAGAGAACTGCCGGTCCTCTTCCCTCCTAGAAGCTAATCACTAGATGGCAACAGGACTTCGCTTTTAAGGCTAGTATCATCAAACAGCACAGAGATGCCTCCACAAACACCTCCACGCCAATATTTTAACAGTACTACATCAACTTTGTTTCTGTTCAGACAAATTATGGCTGAGCATTCTAGAGAGCTGCTAGAAGAAAACACAGGCAGGTAGAGGATCATTACCTGATTTATACTAACTCGTTAAGCTTCACATAATCAGAGTCAGAATTCAATGCTGATTCTCTGAAAAGAAGTCTCTATCTCCCTTCCAGAACTAAAGAAAAGCCTCAATTACTTGAGGTTTCCAGCTGCTGATGCTAAAGGATCATACCAACAAACCGAGTGCTCTTACGCTTTAGGCAGCAAGGAGTAACTTAAACCCGAATACCTTAACTCTAGCTCTGGTGAAAATATCTGACATTGCATGATGCACACTTCTCTCGCCCTCTGCAACCAGGAATAAATGTTTAAGTTCGTCCTAAAATGGTATAAGGCTAAGCCTAACATTCTTGACAGAACTACAGAAGGTGTGTGATTAAGATACATCTCATGTCATCAACATCTGAAAAACAGATGTTGCAGTACTGGTGGTTTTGAAAGCAACAGTTAAAGAAACACAAAAAATGTTTCATCTGAGGATGCTTTTACCAAATATCGTACACAAAATAGGGAACCAGAGGTAGGGAGCTGAACACAACAAAGTGCAAAGGCTGGCATCTGTTATGGACAGGAACAATTGATGGCCGAATAAAGATTCCATTAAATTTGAGTTGTAAAAAAAAAAAAAAAAAAAGTATTACTAAGTTGCAGTAAGTTCACAAAGTGATTTTACAAGTTACAATTAATTACGTTGTCGAAAGAAACCCCAGAGAATATTAAAGACTTAGTTTAATATTTTATGCTACCATGTTGCTGCAAAAGAAAACAAAACTTAAGAAAACAAGTGCTTTCTCCAACTCAGCAATTTGTTTATATGTATCATCACAACAGAGAGGTACTTACCTCCACTTGCATATTCCATTATTAAATAGAGAGTTTTTTCAGTTTCAATGACTTCAAATAGTTTCACTAGAAAAGAAAGCCATTTATTAATCAGTTAACTAGTTGCAGAAGTATTATATCTACCCCAAACAGAAATTTGCAGGAAAAAGAAAATCCAACTATTTGCTTGATGCTTGACAGTATCAGACTGAAGCTTTCTCTATCTAATGTTCCTAACTGGATAATACTGTAACACATTTGGTTAACTCCTACAGAACATACTTTTCTCAAGAAACAATACTTTGCCTCTGTTACTGAATCTCCATAAATTTGAGAATTCACAACAGCCACTGTTATCCACTGAACTGGCACACATGGTGCCAAACGAGTTATCAGTCTGCTGACAATCCTGTAACAATACTACATCATTTAAACGTACAATCTTGAACAATTTCTTGTCCACTTCTTGGTTTTGGTATATATTTATTTTAATGAGAGCCTGAATTCAGTCAAAACCAGTATTACACTCAAAAAGAGCAAAATTATCAGTTATCTATGTAAATAACAGTTTTGAGCAAAGGGACCAGATTTTTTTTTTTAAACACACAGCTCTGAAAAAGTATTTATTACTGCTGCTTTACAATCAATTCATGCTGTAAGTGCAGAATCATCTCTTAAACTCATACCACAACAATTTTACCAGTGAAAAAGCTAAAATTTCTCCACAGTTAGAAATTAGGTGAAAGAAACAAGGTACCTATATTTGGATGATTTAAGATCTTCATTATTCTTACTTCTCTAAAGAGCTGAAATAAACATAAAACAAGTTAATGAGATAGGTAACACCCATTTTTCCTAAAGCCTGGTTATTTTATATACTTTAAACACAAAGGGCAAACATTATTATTAGCATTTCAATTAAGTTTATGAAATAAGCATTTATTGGAGGGAAGAGCTAAATGCCCGGTTCTTTTAACACTTCTCTGCAAACAAATCCACCCTCAAAAACCAGAAAACACCCACAAAGAGCTCAGCTCGGTGATCTTGGCTCTGTGGTTTTGGGGCCAGAAGGCCATTACGAGACCACACAGCTTCTTGCTGTTCAGTACCTCTCACCCCCTCTTTCACCCCCTTCACAGAAAACAAAGTTGTGTGAGCTCCCATCGGAGCACCTTTTGAAGGCCACCATGCTATGCTACGGTATGAATTCATCACTCTTTGGTACTTTGTTAAAGTGACAGAATTACTGTGCCACACAAGGAACCCAGAGGTAAACAAAATCAGCTGCTTAACAAGTGTGTTATCCAACCATCCCAGCAGGGAGCAAGTTTTAAGGAGTGATGGGAAGGCCAGGCTCCTGACTGGCTCTTCAGAAGCGCTCCCGCAAGGCGACCAAAGCACAGGAGGATCAAGTCCCAGGCTTGTCACCCACGGGCGGCTCCACTGACTCACGGCCAGACATCCAGCCTCCAAGCCTGCTCAGCCAGCACAACATGCTGAACACCCTTGCCAAAATTAATAGGGCAGAACACAAACGGTGGTTTCCTGACCCCAGCAGACAGTAAGAACGCCATTACTTCAGGGACACGGTCTCAAAGGGACCAGTCACTCCCACCCTCTTCACGAGCTGCCTCCCCACGCCGCAGGATCGTACCCTTCCCACCAGCGTCCGAGGGCCCAGGAATGAGCTTAACCGAAAAACCTCACAAAACATGCAACTCCCCCAAATGAAAACACTTCCTCTGCAAGTTTTCTGTTGCAGCTCCCTTGCCCACCCCAGCAGGTCTGCTTTGGCAAGATGGGTGGTGAAGGAGTACAAGTGCCCGTTTCAAGTTTCAAGCTGCCACATGACGTTACAGCAACGGAGCTGCATCCAGAGACCACGTACTGATTCCAAGGACCTTGTTCTCTGCCCCCTCCATCGCCCCGAAAACCACCCACCAATACCCATGTGAAAAGGGTTTTGCTTAGGTAGTTATTTCCAAAGAGTTCAACTTCGCCCGTCACACAGAGTAAAACTCTGTCCTCCTGCAACTGGGCAATAATATGGGAATGACATTTAACAAACCAGCAAAGTCTATTACTGATCAGCTCTTAATTACTTTCACCTCAGAAACCTCTTCTGCAAAACACAATTATAAGATGCACGTAAATCCATAAATGTAATACTAAAAATGCCACAGGTGTTGCTACTGCAATAAAACATTGCTTTTAATGAAGTTGGTTATTAAGAGAGGAAGTAAAAGTAGTCCCAGTTCCCACAGAAAATATCCAATATAATAATTTATTATATATAAAAAACCAAACCAACCCTGAAGTGCAAATATTATTTTATTTGCAAAACACAAAGAATTATCTTTTAGGCAGTATTCTATATGGCAGTCAAGTGCATAGCTGTTCTCTCTCTGCAGCTCCTCCCATGCCAGCCCATGACTCCAGAGGGTTAATGCTCTTAAGCTTTGATTATTCCCTGAGAGTATGCTTCAAAAAGCAGGAGTAATCAAGAGGTTTTGTTATAAACCTAGCATCAAGTTCTACAGGAATACCAGTAACATAGCACATCAGACTGAACTTAATGTTAAGAGACTGAAGCAGAACGAAAGTCCACAGCTCCAGAGGAATGCAGACATGGGAGAAAAGAAAGAGTTTTGTAAATACGAGATAACAGCATTATTAACAGTAGGGAAGCAAAAAGCGCTGCTGCAAGATTTGCCTCAGGTCAGATTTCAGATAAAGTGAAGGCATTTAGTATGTCTACACATATTACTAATGACTCAAAAATCTGTAGGTGTGCTTACTCAATGAAAGCAACAAAAAAAAAGTGAAACACAGGAAACAAACAAAACCAAAGAGTCAAAACAAAATCAGTGACTTTGTGCATTTTAATAAAAGAAAATGAAAAGAAAATGTGGGGGTGGGCTTTAATTGCGTTGCTCAATGGATTTTCTCGCCCATGCTACAGCCACAGTGGTCAGTGGCACACGACCTGAACACAGAGTAAAGCCAAACAGTTTTCCAAATGCTTTTAATTATCTTATTATCCTTATCCAGGTCTAGGCCTACAAAATAAGAGTTTCAAAAACTACAGATGCACGCTCTCCTTTTCCCCCAGAGAGGTAAGTAAATTGCCCCACCCCACTTTTTTTTTAAAAAAAAAAAGTTATTTCTGGAGCTTGAAGCTATAGCTATTTTGTTTCTTTTTTTTTTCATTCAGTTCAGCTGATCTGGTGTATATATTCTGAATACTCCACTAATACTTTTAATCACAGCTTATATAACTGAAAGCCTCTGGTCAGCTTTTAAAGTTGTGAAGACAATTTTGCTTAATTTGCTCTCAACTGACTGTTGGTATCTTCTACAGCCAATGCTCAGACAGAGCCTGTTGGGTCAGACTCTCACCAAGGGCAACCCCACTGCTGCAGAGGAAGACCTTGGCTGTCACTCAGCCATCAGCCTACTTATCGCCACCCCATTCACCTAAAAAATAAATAAATATATATATAAAAAAAGAAAATTCATAGGATTAAATATAGGAATATAGGCAGTGATAATTGGGGCCACCAAAGAACAAAGAACAAGAGTAATATAGAGCATGACAATGAAAATAAGGCTAAAATCCATGATATCATCATGTAAATGAATATATTAATTATTCTTTTTTTTTTCTTAAGTAAGTATGCTGTCTTGGTTGGAGCTAGCTATTTTCTCCATTGTAGCCTGTACACTTTGATGGTCTAATGTGATAACATCAGGCTCCTACCCCATTTTTGGCTGCTCTAAATATAACACTGGTCCACAAGGCAACTCCCCTGCGTTACTAACCCAAATGAAGCATGTAAAGAAGTAGCTTTTACATATGAGCCATTTGTTGGAAGCGGGTGAGTAGAAACAACATTTTCAGAAAAAAAACCCACTACTTTCGTCTTGGAGAAAACTAAAAATACTTGAGGATATGATACAACAACCACCATCGAATTCTTTACTATAATTTTAGTTAGATACATGCACTTCAGATTGTGTTCCCCTAGTCAGTTTAAATGTTACATGTAGCATTTTGACACAGGTAGCAATTTCAACACGGATATCTGCAAACACTTGATATTGTATTGGGTATTATTGCATTCCTCTATCACAAATAAGACTATGTCAGACATCATAGACCTTTTGCACAGTATGCTGAATAAAGTTCTCCAGATTTCAGTCTCCCAAAAATATTACGTACATCAACTTCCAGCAAATGAAGCAGCAACTATAATCACACAGTACGTTAACTGCAAACAGCCACGTATGACAAAAGCCCACGCATCTGAGGTTCTCTGCCACAGGAACGCAGAAGTTGATGTAACACCAGAAGATGTAACATTAGAAGACGCAACACGGACATTTCCAGTACAGAAAATAGTTTTCTTAAGTTGGAAAAACTTACTTGTCCTAATGAGACCATAAAGGCAGACAAGCAACTGAAAACAGTGCTTATCAGCTTGATTTCTAATTCCGAGATTAAAACTACTCCCAAGTTGTTGAATAGCTCATTTTCCGTCAACAGAAGCTCTACAAATGTTTCTAGGCAAAGACAAACATCCTCAGTCTGCCAAACAAATGACTTTCAGCTTTGTTGTGGTCTGGTCCTTTGACTGTAAGCCATGTTAGATATGGGGAAAGAATTACATATAATTAATGCTGCTAGCTGACAAACTGAGTAAAAAAACCCAACAACCCAACATGCCATCAGTGGAAGCACAGACACATACTGAGGAATAATCTTGAATTGATTTAAATTGAACTTTATTTTGCTGACGCACCCAAAATGAGAAGGGAGTGGGGCGATAAAAGGGCCCATCTTTTAAGCCAACTCTCTTTGAACACAGCAAAAGATAAATCAGAAGTGCTCCTGCATTAGCTATTGCAAAAGTTTCAGCAACTAATTATTTCAAAAACACCAAAAAGTAGTTTGCTAAAAAGCAACTCAGTACACTTGTCGGATGCAGAGCACCAAGAGATCCTGGCCTCCTTCCCCACAAAGCAGGGGCTTTTCACAAGATGTTGTCCCAAGTGAGCTCAAGCCTGACCTCTGTATTAGGCTCCTCCTGGTAACTTCTGACTTGAATATGCCCTCCATATAATTAGGAGACTCAAGCAGGAAGACTTTACACAACACAAGCTTGCCTCAAACAAACCATAACTTGAAAACAGAAAAAAATACTTATTATAAACAAAGAAGCCTGGGCATTTTAAATTCTCAACCTTTTCCCACAGTTTTTAAAGTACTGATTGATCCATGGTCAGAAAAGTCATGGTCCATGTTAAACTTTAAGAATTCTGGAAGGCTTTAACAACAAAAAAACCCCACAGCCCAAACAAGTGGCAAAACACCTGCACATAACGAAAAAAATATTTGGCTGAGGAGCCACGTTCTAAAAAAGGAAAATGGGAAGTGATTTAGTGCTATTACATGGGCTTGGTAAAAAAACTCTTGCATATAATGGCATTGCTAATTCAAAAGAAGAAAAAAAAACAAACAAATTTTTTTTTGTCTTGGAGGAAGTGAACTACGTAGCATCAGCCCTTGTTTCCAGCAAGGCCAATATCCACTGGAACTGGGTACACAAGTACATTTGTGGAGAACAGTGATTATGACTAACACCAGCAGCATGGGAAAAAACCTCTAAGAATTCCCTTTTCTTTCAAAGCAGGGAAGTACCACTTACAGTTTCCTCTTTGCTAAGCAAGAGCAGTAGAGTAGTAATTAGGTCCTAAAACAACAGTTAAGGGTAGCTGCATGTGGCTACCACAGACTTCCTCACCAGCAGACAAGAAACCCGACTCTCGCGAAGAGCCGTGCTGCTGAATATTGAGCTGTCAGGCCAGCAGCCGCCCGGAGCTTACCGCGAGGGCATACCAAGAATTACTGCTCCAGAAACCAAAGCAAGTCCTTAACAAGGTTAACTTCCCTCTGGCAGCTGAAGTATCGATGTGGAAGACAGAACACAAAGAAATCGGAACCAGCAGCCTTAATCACCATTTGTTTCCCCACCTAAGGATGAGGAGGAGGGTGTGCAGCTCCGCCACAGCTGAGGCACTACTCGCCACACCCTGTCCGCGGCACAGCCCTTCCCTCCCCACCATACCTCAAATAGTTGATTGCTCTCTCCACAAGTGCCCCATCACAAGCACTTCCATCTTGGCTTCCCCTGCACCTGCAGTCGCGTGCATAGTTGGCTTCAAAGGTACCGAGGCTACGGCACTGCTCACAGGGCTGGCATTTAATTTTAAGAAAATCACTTTCAATTTTTAAATTGAGAATGCCGATACACCCTGTTAATTTTTTTTCTGTCTCATATAACAAATGAGCTTAGAGTAGATAGCACATTAGCAACCTCCCTCCCCAAATCTGATCTGATTTTTGCCCAGCTACTTTGTACTGTTCTTCTGGACTCTCATTTAAGGAACCTAGTGGTAGACACAGCCAAACGACAAATCACACTTTATAATCTAATTTTATAAATTGTGAATAAGGACGAAGTTACAACCGAGATGGAGACACGAGTGGACACTGAGCAGGCTGAAACCCAGAACAAAAGGGCCGACAAGGACACTTCCAGCCTATGGCCTTGCCAACTGAACACCTGTGACTTGTGAAAGGTTTGCTTTGTACCTGAATATGAGCTCAAGCTAGCGTTATGGCCGGAGCTCAAGATAAATATAAACTCTTAATTCTTCAGATAATGTTTTGTCTGAAAAAACAGCCTCTACTTTTCTCTAACCATTCTTCCTATGGCCTGACCCTTCCCCTTCACACCACACAGCCTTTGTTTCTTTTCCAAGTGCTTCAAGCATTTAACAGTTTTCTCAAGTTGCACACATTTTCCACACAAATTGATTTCATCTAATCCATCATAATGACTAATTTGCATTCCATTTCCTCAATCCTACCCAGAAATTACCAATAACCTCAGGGATTAAGCTGAGAAAGACTCTGAGAAAACTGGAACCACACTGTCTACTTTTACCCAGTCTACAAAGTCAGTAGAAGTTGCTACCTGCTAAGACAACAGAGCCTTTCTTCTATAGGTTATTCCTTGCCTCTCAACCAAACCACACAACGTAAGAACTTGTGTGTTTTTCCAATTTACTTTTGCACCATTAGTTTTGATAAAAACATCTGGTCACACAATCTTTGTAGTATTTGCATAAAACCCAAATATGTATATTCTCCAGTTTACTCTGGTTATGCTATTTCATTTTGTTTGCAGTTAAGTTCTGGGTATTCTCTCATTCAAACAGAAATATTGCAAGGAACTTTTTTATCAAAGTACTCAAAGGTAAATAAAAAGCCTTTGACTGCAGCACTTAAAAGGACAGAGTTCGAAAAGTCCTAGGTAAAAGTGACATTTAAATGTACTTCCTGCAGGCACTCCAAAGCAGACTGGCTTGCTTGATGAAAGAGTAGGATTTATCACTATTTACTAAAATAGATAAGGCGATACAACTGTAACAGCACATTAAACATTTGAGGCTAGAGGGAAGAAACCAGAATAGCCATGTTCCAATTTGGTCCATAAAACCGCAGCACCTTTTCTACCGCAAACTACATGAACAGCGTAGGCACTGCTTGGCTTTCAGTCCAGGAGTGATATTTTCCTGGCCAGTTTAAGAGAAGAGAACATAAGCTTTGTATCTGTAAGTCTAACAAAGTGACCAGCATGAAGCATACATGAGGGCACGACAGCAAACCACAGATGTCCTCTACAGTGAGCTGTGCTTGGGAGACAAAGGAAGTGGCTAATACCACTGTTTTCTCAGTTTACAGCTCTGCACGAGTTCATGTTGGACAACTGCAGGGCTGTCAAAAATATCTGTTACAAAACTAGTTATTAAATGCAGGAGTCAGATGTGTGCAATGCTTCAGATTCTCCAGCACAGGCACTGAGGGTTAATGGAAGGAGGTGGTGAAATGAAATAACTTACAATACAGTTGAAAGATTAAATGTAAAAACCTACCTTTTGTAGACTAGTTGGGTTCAGCTGTGTTTTGTCAATTATTTTTATGGCAACCTAAAGGAAGAGTTCATAATCAGTATTTTCCATACAAGACGGTCAAACCAAGTAACAAAAATGGAAAACATGAAAATTACACAAAACCCACTAAAGTTCCTTCAATAAGTTATGTACCTGTACTTAAGAAAAATATTTGGGATTAACGGCTAAAGTCCAATTTACTTCTACTACGACAAACTAAGCAGTGGGGAAAAAAAATAGCATTTTAAGCATATTACAACAAGAAGCTCACTATAGTCTTTTGCTTGATATTATGACTGTCACACGTATTACAGTGGAAGCTCCAACATCTGCCAGTGCCTCGGCAGAGAGCCCTGTGCCTACAGATAATATTTACACAGCGTAATCACACAACAGATTACATAGCACTGACTGGGCATTGGCAGTTTGTGAAGATGCTTCTTAAAGTAGAGATTTCAGAGCAAAGTGAAAGAAACTCCACACAGATTTTGCAAGAACTACGTTCACCTTTAGAAATTCACTGAACATTAATTTGCCCCTGATGGATGTGAAAAAAAGGTACCACTTCTGCATTAATAAAAATCCATTGGCTGTATTACAACAATCTGGACCAGTTCATTCCTTTACTGATTCTCATCTTTTCAGTAAATACTGCAGAGAAATATTAAAGAATATTAAAGAACAAAATAAAAATCTCACAAAATAATTGAGAGAAATCCAGTACCATGGTAACTAGTCAGAACCTGAAGATTTGAGGCAATGAACAGGCAACAGAGACAAGCTCCAGTGCCATGGAATTTGACTACAGGATGAGCTAGAGCAGGAAACAGGAATCTTTCTAGAATTACACGCCAATTGGTATTTTTCATTTCTAAATTAGAGACTAAACATACCAGAAGAAACTCTACAGATGCCAAGGAGATGATGCCTCTCAAAGAGGCAAGATACTGCAACTCAGCTGATTATAATACCTCACTGGTGCAAAGCAAGGGCTTTCAATTCCCCATGATTTTTTAGCTCAAACAGTTGATGCTGCTCCCTCTGATGCCACAGCTCCCGTTTCCCTGCATCACTTTGTGCTATCTTTGTCATCTCATTAACTTGGCGCTGGCAACATATGGAATAAAGAAAATCTTCCATCAAAGCACATTTATATCCCGACATTCAAGTGCCAAAACACATGGATGGATGGATCATCATGATAGAGAGGGTAAGTGTTCAACGCTTGGGTGCATCATGGAGTTACATGACGAATATGGTCTTTTCTGAAACTGAGATTCAAGATTTATTTTGAGCTCCTCTAGATGCAAGATAAGATGAGACATCATCAAAACCATCTAAGAATATTTTTGCTTTGGAGACTATTTTCTTTTAAGGTATGCTACTGAAATTAAGTTAATTATTTCCCAAGGCAAAATTCCACTGCAAAACCTTGAGAAATCACTTCAAAAATACAAAGCAGAGATAAATACATTAAGCAATATGTATTTTTATATTAGCAGCTGTGTACAAAACCAAGAAAGATTTTTATCTCTACCATTATGCCTGTCGAACTATTCTCACAAAGATGACAAAGCTGCTCACTTCCAGCAATCTTTCATAAATCCATGCAGGAGCTAGAGTGACCGCTGTCTTTGTCAACAGTGGACACTGTTCTCTGAAAGTCACCTGCTGTCTGAAGACTACCCATTCTATAGAAGATGTCTGTTTGCTTGCAAACTCAGTCCTGGAGATGCAGTGAAGGTACACACCTCAGTTTTCTGAAAGGTCGACTCAGGGAGCTGTTCAGTGCGCTAATTACAGCCCTAAAGGCAGGATGAATTTGGAGAATTCCCATCCACATGAACACTGGAGAGAACAATATGTTAACACTGACTTCGAGAGCTTGAACCCATCATCAGAACAGGCCTCCAAATCTATCTCATCAGATAAGGTCTCCAAACCAGAGGCAAAGGGAGCCTGCCCTCAAGAATAGTTCTGATGAGCCTGAGAAGGAAAACTCTCCATTTTACTAAGCACAGTTAACAAAGCATCAAATTGCCTTCCGAAGCAGGAACTTTCTCTCTTTACACAAAGTGAATCTGGCATGGTTTCAATTTCTGGGTGCTATGGCCAATGCTGGAGGAATGCAAGCCCACCTACACTGTTACACTGCCACCTCAGCCATGATATTCTGGGTGAGATCGTTAGTAGAATTAAAATTAACTTTGCTTTCACCATTCACAATAACATGACTTAAAATATTCATCCTACATGACTTGAATGAGGGAGTTAAAGCAATCGCAAGTTGAGACGCTGAGCAAATTGGCCAAACTGCTACCATTCAGAGCACCTTCTCCCTCTTAAATTTCTCTTTTTTCCAAGGACAGAAGAGAAGGAAGATGACAATAGATTCCTTGGAGTTAGTCTTGGATTCTGAAAGTATCCTGTCTCAGTATGAAACTTTAATTTCCTGGCTATTAACTGAACATTTACCTTTAACGAACAGAAGGATCCATGCATTTATTTTTTTTTTGCTGTGATTCCAATCACCTCAGTAACAGCAAAAGGTCTTTTAGATTAATTTTGACAAGTAGGAAAACTTGCCAGAGGAAATAACTTTTGACAAATCACAACTGAAATTACATGGCTTCAAGTCAAAGAATTAACAAAAGCATATTTACAATGAAGATTCTTGGTTTCGAAAGGGCAGACATACTACAAATAACACTCTCCTAGACAGAGGATCATGAAGAAGTGTGTTTCAAACACTGGCTCTAGTGCAGTGAAGCTAGTTCTCCCTCCAAAGGCCAGGCACTCCTTGGCAGGACAATTCAACCCCTCAGGTTATGCTGATGTTCTGATCATCCCCCAAAGGGCTGAACATTTCTCCATTTCTGTAATTTTGAGGCTGGGCTCTCATCATACATCCTGCAAACACACTAAAGATTGAAAAGAGAGTCCTGGAACTTATTCCAGTTGGAAACATGAAAGCTGTAACTCGAGCAACAGGGAAGGACTCCAGATTTAAGGAGAAGAGCAACTACCCTAAAAGAATGCTTCAACAAACACATCATCCTCCCAAGAAGTAACAGAAAAGCGCTGAGCTGCTGCATGATTTAGAAATTGCCACAAAGTGAAACTAAACCAGACACTTCAAAGAACATTAGGAATAGCCATAGAGATAACAAGGAGAAGATAACTAGGGTTCAAATGCAGCAGGTATATGGCAGAGACAAAAACTCATTCAAGTCCCAAACCCAAGCATTTTATTTTAGCTTTTGGTACAGAAGATGCAAAAAAGAATAAAAACAAACACAGGGCAGCCAGCAAAAACAGGAAATCACAAATTCAGGAAGATGAGTGTTGTCTGGCTGAAGGTAGACTGAGAGCATTATCCTGGAATTCTTAAGGGTGGCAGGTTTAAAAGGGAAAAAAAATAAAAACCAAAAAAGCATTATTGTGGCACATATTTCTAACATCAAGAACAAAATGGCAGCACAGGTTTGGAAATTTTCAGCCTTAACTTTTTTTTTTTTCCCACTAGCAGAGCCATTTACCAGAAAATTCTTGAGCTCAAAGCTTGCAGGGAAAGAACAGGGAAACCAAGAGAAGGGTTAAATGCAACATATTTTCCTGTAGTTAATTGTGCCCTATGGAAACATGCAAGATATGACTATCTGTACTACTGCAAAGTCTCATTTAGGAAGACGCATGGAAATTATTGAACTAGATAAGCTGATGTGCACTGCAATTTTTTAATTAAAAAAAGGCTAAGGAGATATCATGTTGGAAATAAACGAGTAAGAGCTTTTCAAGGACAAGACTGGGGATTAATCTTGTTTAATATCTGTATCAATGGCCTTGGCACAACAAGTTAAACCATAGTGATTAAGGCTGTTGAAGGAGTTAAGAGGCAACATCAAATATCAAATACAATGGAAAACAGGTAGGAACAACCTTGGAGATGAGTTAGCAAAGAAAGTGTGATTTGACAAAGTACAAGGTGCTGTTGCTGATCACAACTAAAAACCATCAATCTGACAGCCATGAAAAAGGTCAGCACAATCTAAAGATTGATCAGATAAATATTTCTGTAAGGGCAAGGATAAGTGAATGACACTGGGGAAATTGTTATCCAGAATATTGTGAAGAATTCTAGTCACACACATCTAGAAAACATAATAATTATCAATGCTGTACAGTTCACCTAGCAAGAAGATAACTTCTACTCATCTCTCTTACAGAGGAACAAAAAGTTTTAAATACCTTCCAGACATCCCTATAAAATTAGCTTTATCTTCCCTTCAAAGGAATGCCAGGCATTCTAGGTAACGAGGATCAAGAACGACATCCTGGAAAGTATCCTGAAATGATGGAATGGCATCTATTCCATCAGTGTTGAAGAGACTTGTATAAGAAGAGGTTAACAAGGTGTTTCTCCCACTTTCAGTACATAGAGTTGCTACTAATAAAACGCACCAAGAAACACCTTTCTGTAACAAGCAAACAGGACTATAGCTCACCAAATCATAACCACCTTTAAGTGGAAGTTATTAATTACAATACAATGGCATGCAAAAACTAATCAGAGCTCAGACAAGAAAAAGATACAAAAAATATGCTTGTCTGTACCACCGAACCCTGAGCAAGACACGCAACAATCTGGAGTGTCTTCCACAGCTGCCCAGCACTGCAGGCACCAGCAGAACTCCTAAGAGATAGGATTGCTTTGGCAAGAAAATATTGCATTTGGGCTACTTGGACCATAGTCAAGAAGAGATACTAGTTCTCAGTCCTGACTTCCCATCCCATACAGCCCTGCAATGTGCAGCACAGTAACAAGAGGCAGTCTTTCCAGAAAGCTTATTTAATTACTATACATTGAGCCTCTTTTTGGGAATCGAGGATTTAGAAGAGAATTCCAGCAGCAAACTTGAACACGACTCAGTTGGACAGGAACTTGTCAAAAATACAGATTTAAAAGACTGTTTTCAAGAGAAATTGTTCGCAATCATTACTGAAAAACAGCTTTCCGTACCTCTAGTAAAACATGTTAAATGTTCACAGACTTGTATGATGCCATTCTAAGAGAACCTTCACACCTACTGCAATTCACTACTGTTTACACCCACACAACTTTACCTCTCTGCCAGTTAGGATGTGCCTTGCCAGTTTTACTTTTGCAAAATTCCCCTTTCCAATCGTTTTAAGGAGTCTGTAATTTCCAATATGCGGTTGCTCATCTGCGCAGGAAGCTATAGAGTTCCTGCAGCGAGCTCCAGAGCGCCCAGTTCGAGAGGAAACTTCCTGCCGTCCGTCTCCATGGGACGTGTGCTGCAATAAAAACATACACAGATAAGGCTGAGAAATAAAGACAAAACACATCAACTATGAGAAGCATACAACATTCAAAAACATGAGCAGCTCCTTTGAAGAAACCTTGAAAGGATCCAACTCCAATTTCAGCTTCACGCTGAACTTTGATCTGATGGGGACAATACAGGCATTCCCAGTTGATAACACAACAGCCATTTCCTCCCCTGGCGAGGACCAGTGGAATGTCACCTGAACTGCAGCGGCAGTTGGGCACTTTCAAGTAATTTAGGAGGACTGCCAAATCAGTGATGGGACACGGAGGTATTTCATATTATTTCTCATTTGCGTTACCGTGCATAACTAGAGCAGGGAAAGTCTTTGGCAAGGCGGCACGGATCAAGCTTTTCCAAAAGTACAGTAAAATGTTCATCCTTACTGGACAGTTTAATACTACTGATAAAACAGTAAAAGGGGCTTTCTCTCTTGTACTAGACTGCCAATCCGGGAAAAATACATGCCTGAAAATACCAGAGATGGTCTGAGGAACAAGGGAAGAAATCTCACCTAATGTACAGAAACCCCAGATATTAACAGGCTGAGGACAGTTACAGAGATCTGAGATGCTGTCTGCAATCTGTTAAGTTCCTTTCCCCCAGTTTCCCTGAACAGCTATTAATTGCAAAAATCAATGAGTGTATCTCATATCTGCAATAGTCTTTGTTCATTAGATCACATGGTTAAGGTAACAGCAAAGTACTTTTTAATTTCCTGACAGCCTGTTTATGAAAGAGCAGGTCCCCTCATGTCCTGTAGTTCTCAAAGCATGGCTGAGGTTTATTTACCACCTTCACTAATTAAAGTATGAGTTAGAAATGCTTAGTGGTCTGTAAATGTGGAGCAAGTGTCCGGCTACACAGAAGATGCCATGCTAAATTCACCGTCATCTCAGAAACCCCAGACCTTGCTCTTCTACTATTCTTGCTGAAACCCAGTGGGTTAAGACCAAAAATCTGGCATACAGCAACACTCCGTATGAAAAAAGCTGTAGCATAAGGATGTGAGATCATAACTCAAGACCTAACAACCACGGTACAGGCACAAATGAACAAATCCATGCTTGCACGACACTTGGCAAGTTTCACACTATTTAATAACCTGATGTAACCTTGTGACCATATACTCTGGAATCTTAAGTTCCTTGGTTTGTTAATTTGAGTGCAAGAGCTGTGATCAAATTATTTTTTAAAAAATATTAATTTCATTTAAGAAATACTTCTGATAGAAGTCTACAGCAACTCTTGGAAAATTATTTCAATAGTTACTATTTAAAAGAAAACCACATGGATGCACTGTGGTGCATATAATGTTTTAGTACCAGTCTGACTTTAGGTTTTCCTTACTGCCTGGCTACTGCATTATCACCAGATCTGTACCTCCCATATAGGTACTGAATTACTATGACCACATAATCCCTTCCTTCGCTTTATTAAGTGAATATTTATACAGAGAGAACTCCCTGAAGAACCTGCTGTAAGAATGATTAAACACAAGCAAACATTTCTTGCAGTTCTTTTCAGAACTCTCTCCTGTTTTTCCAACATCTTTTTCTGAGGCTCATGCTGGAATTGGACACGCAGTTAGGACCAAACACAAAAAGTGCATCTTCTGTTCAACACTCCACTGATTTTACATGGACAGAACCAGCCTTCTTGGGAAAAGACCATCTGTATCTGACCAGCCAACACTGAACCTAACTTTTTTTAAGAACTAATGCTTCCCATTCCCTTACCACACATACCAATTTTCATTCTTAGTTCCTTACGTGCAATTGTTCTATGATTCTATGATCTCACATTTGGCTGAAGAGAAATGCATAGTTTCCTCACATGCAGGTTATTACGTGTTCCTGATGACTGGCCACAGTTAATATTCTAGCAAACTTTATCCTAGTTTTCAGGAGCAGCAGTATACCTTTCTTCCAGCCCACTAATAACTGGTACAGGAATAAGAACAGCACTCATAAAAAGATCCAGTAAAAATTCAATGCTCAATAACAATCCACTCCTCTCAATAATATTTTGAGATGTATAACAAGTGTGTGGTTTTCAGTCAATAATTCTCAAGGAGAGGACGGACAAGAGAAGTCACTCAGCTGAAGGAACTACTAAAGCCAGGGAAATCCTGTACTGATAATTTCATTATTTTGCAAGCCCCTAATGCCAGGCTGCTGCTGGTTGTTCAGGCCATCTTATTTACCCCTGTACATACCAGCAGAGCGATGCCAACTCTCTGTACTGCCCTAAACTTTGACTTCTAACAAACCTTGCAGCAGCAACGCAGAGAACTTCTCGGTCAGCTCCTTTGATGCCTTTTAGTGTCAAATTATCCAGACCAGCTAGAAAAACACAGTAACTGCTGATGCTAGATGCTAACATCCTCCTACATTGCTACCCCCAGCCATCAGGGACCAGGATGTTCTGTCCAGGGCCATGAGGGTATTTCTTGGATGTATTAGGGGAAGGCTCACTTTTAGCTCAAGTACAGAAGCCCAGGAATATAGCTGTACTACTTACGCTGCACTACACCGAGCTGGTAACCTAGGCTGGAAAAAGAAGGGCATCAGAGCTATTTGGACCGTAGCCCTTTCACACCCGGGAACTTGGCGGAGGCACACGAGTTGGCTTCAGCAAGAGCCAGCCTGCCTCCTCCAAGAAGGACTTAGTAGCGTGGGCTCTCCAGCAGACAGGTTCAACAAGTAGGTTGCTTTTGAACCACATGGCTGACTGGGAAAACGGAGTATCTGCATCTGTGCTGTCCCGGGCTTGAACTAATAAACTGTGTTAGGCTTGAGCTGTGTCTGAGAACCTGTGTACAGGTTATTCGGAACTGATTTCAGTCGTATCCTACTTTATATAAAAAATATTAGGTAAAGAGTCCGTTATGCTTAAAAATTCTATTCCACATAGAAAACCATCCAAATTAATAGACTCCTCTGATGAGGAATGATTTCTCGTGTCCTATAATTTTTTTTTCACACCTTCTACCTTTGCACTTAAAGGGAGGAATTAACAGCAGTGAACTTATCTGGACTAGCACTGATAAATTTAACACAATCTCCTTGTACAGAGGTTTGCATTTCCACCCTAACCCAGACTATTTCTTTTCAAGAATATGACCTTTTTCAGCTGTGGGTTTTGAAAATCAAGCCGTGTGTTCCTAAGCAGTTCTCTCCAACTGACTTGCTCACATTCTGTAGAAATCCATCCATTTGCAGCCATATCTAATTTGGACTTCTCATAAGTAAAGCTATCAGCAAGACCTTCCTCTGTCAAATACAAGATTACTGCATTGAACAGAATACACGCTTTCTAAAAACTGCAGCTTCCCAGTTTCAACATGGATTTTCTTTTGCTTATGGAAGTGAATAGAAGGCTTGGCATAAACTCAAAACTGAGTAAAAGTGTTTCTCCCACCCAAATAATCTTCATGAAGCCATGACAGGTAGATGAGAAGCTAAATGGTGTAGGCCAAAAGCAAAAATATAGATGGTCCAGGTAAAGTTCAAGTCATGCATTGGCTTGTACAGTATTTGGCTGTACCCAGCTACTTCCCAGGGTTGTTTACTCAGCAATTTCAGCACAGAGAAATAGTAATAGCATCCTCTGCTCTCTAAACTGAGATGCAGGTCATTTGTTTTTTCCCAAGCAGACCCTCAACTCTGACTATTTTGCCTCCTTCATCCCCTGATCCCCAAAGATTTTGTTCAATTGCAAGTTTCTTTCTCACGTCCACATTTAAATGGCTTCAATAAGAAAGGGGGTTTATCTTAAAATCCTAAAATTTAAACCAAGTACGCACTTATTTGTAGTAAATTTCCATACACTGTGGTTGGTGAGCTGCATCTCCTAGACAGACATTCTGTGCAAAGGTAACACTCGTTCATGACACTGGCCATGGTGGAGGGATTCCCAAAATACCTGTCTTCACGTGAAGACCATTATACTACAGAAGGGGAACTGAAGCAAGGAGAAGACGGTACTTTGTGCAGCTTCGGGCTAGCCAGAGGCACCATCTCATCTAAAAGAAAAGTCTCCTGAAATCCACTCATGCCAAGAACGCACTTTGTTCCATATCTTGGCATGCATCGGGTTTCATTTCAAAATCTTTTGAATACTTTAAAGGTGGTTTATTGTTTTGGTTTGGTTTCTGTTCTTTTTTTCACATAGCAGGAAGGTTCTTTAAAAAAAGCTATCCATTTTCAAGCCAACAAGATAACCTGTCAAAAAAAATATGCATTCTATTCCTCCTCCCAGCCCCACCCTGATATTACTCAACCCAGAAGGAAATGGAGTAAAACGACCTTACTGAGAGGGAGGGGCTGAACCTGAGACCAACTCTTCGGAACACAATGCAAAACCCACCTTTTCGCCAAAGCCTTCCCCCAGTGATGAGCCGACATCCTTTCATAGCCAGATAATGATTAGCATGAAGAGAAAGAAAAAGAAAAGAAAATAAAGTAAAAAGCAAATGAAGTATGAGGGTGCCAATAACTGAAATATTTTTGGTAGATGTTAGCTTTATCCAGTATCTGTATGAATAGAGGTATCTTAACATTCAGAGCATTAGAAACACAGAGGGCAGAGGATGACTAGGATTCAAAGTTCTTATACTGCTTAAGAAGGTGCCAACAGCTGAGAAAAATCTGGAAGAGACAGAATCTGACATCCGTTCGAAGAGCTGAAAAACATTAAGAAATTAGAATGCCCAAGGCCTGCAAAAATCCATGTTTATTTACAGTAAGTAGGAAGCTTTCTTTCTAAAACAAGGAGGACACACGGTATCAACATTTTTTTTAAGTATTTATTTTATACAAGAGTGAAAACTATCTTCTCAACAGCCAAAAGAACTAATAAAATGCAATCTTACAGAAGTCTATAGGAATGTTTATTACCTTAGCTGTGACCTCATCTTTGTATGAAATACTATGAAGTTGTATAGAATTTCTTGGAAAG